TATGAAGTGTTATTGTTTTTGACGTGTTGTGTTTTTTTGTTATTTGAGCTTGAGCACCATTGCTAGCGCAGTGTCACCAAAAGAATGTATTTCAGAATCAGAATCTCGTATTTATCCTGGAGAAATCCCATGAGCTATGAAGCTCTACTCTTTGGTTTTTTCGGTAAAGTCACGTAGGTATAAGATAAAATAAATCACGACGTTTCGGGCGCAACACAAGCGTCCGTCATCAGGTGGGAAAGCATGGCCTGCTGCTGAGGCAGACTGTTTTAAAAGGTTTAAAATGGGTGTAGCTCAAGGGTCATAAAGAAGTGGCCAGGGCTAGTGATGTTAATGTGAGAAATTAGCATGTAACTGTAAGATAGGAGAGCGGCCTCCTTATTGTGAGCACAAAGACAATTGATCCTTATGGCGGTACCCCGGTGTAGCAAATAATACAAAATGGGCCGAGGCAATTCAATGTGAGAGATTAGCATGATGTTAATGTAAAACCGAAGAGTGGTGCAATCAATATCTTTTTAAACATTTTTTTTATATGTTATGTTTCGGCTTGAGTCTAATTGTCCACGGTAAACTAACGTTGGCTGTAATTGTTCACGGATCCTTACATTATGCCCCACGCTGTTATTTTTAGTCAGTTACAACCACAGTATCAGAGTTAACTCTGGTGTTTGTCTCGGTCTCATCATCATCTCCATATATATAAATGGCAAAGTTGTGATTATGTGTGTCTGTTCAAAATGTTTAGCGTACTTCCCGACATGCAACAAACTTGAAATTTGCCATGTGGGTACTTTCCAGACTGTACACCATGCAAAAAGTATAAAAATACACTTTTTGGGGGGGGGGGGGGAGAGCTCAATAATGCACGTATTTTTTTGCACGGCAAGTGAGCTGTGACGTCACATCTGTCATGTGACCCGCGCATGTGGAAGCGTAACGCATTGTAGTGTAGTGGTTAGCGCGCCGCTGCGCTACGAACCCGGCGACCCGAGTTCGATTCAAGCTCACGGCCACCACCGGTCACGATTATTTTAACCACTCCTGGGCCTCCCCGCAGGTCGACTCAGCCTCAAATGATTAACTGGAGTGCTGTGTGAACATCGCCACTGGAGATGCAATGGCGGCCGAGCGTGGTGAAGCCAGGTAGTAAAGCTAGTTAAACATTTTAATGCAAAGTACTTGAACATAATTTTTTTTTTACTTTTGAGTACATTTCATAAAAGCGTGTTTTTAAAGTATTTTTTAAAGTATATATTATTTCATTTTCTATACAGCCCAGATAATACGAAAATCGCTAACCTTAAACACCCAGTTCATAAAAGTTGAAGGCAATATAGTACTATAGTAATAGAGGCAAGTGCAGAATCGCTGAACCGGAATTGATAGCTTGAAAGCATTTAGCGCGGGGCCCTTGAAAGTGCGGGGCCCGTAGCTACTACTTATGCAGCTACTTTTGCTACTAGGATAATCCGGCACTGGATGCAGTACATTATGGTAACATGGAGCCATCTCGAATCAATCGCTGGACGCCAAAAAAACGGTGTACAAAACAGGCATTTTCTGGCAATCCCCGAATGTAAACACAGGCACGGAACTACCTTTTATTCATACTGTAGATGTATTTGTGTGATTTGTTTACCTCCCTCGTACTTGCACTACTATCATGTTTTTGTACTGTTTGTTCTGATAACGTCCTGACCCCGTGCCCTGCCTGGACATCTGTGTAAAAAGAGCTTTATAGCTCATCGGATTCCTCCTGCAGTATACATTCTGATGCGGATGTACGTCAGTCCAATTATGCCAAATTAACATCTGTAAATAATAATAATAAATCACGGTACCGGCGTCTGCTTTGATCCACATTGTTCACCTGAGCCGTGGGCTGTTCGGAATGTACCACTCACTCAGCGGGGGGATGATACTAACAGTTTCGCATGGACTTATACTTTAAAACATTAAAAAAAACAAGACATGGCATTATAAAATCACTGCAACTGTTATTGTACAATGGTTAACAAATTACAATTGAAATCAACGGAATAGGGTAAAGTTTTATTTGTAAAATTGTTCAATCATTCGATAGCATCACCCCTGTGGTTTACAATGGTTTCTCTCTCTGTGGGTTTTAGCTACAGGAATCGCGGATAAATTATTTTATTGAATTGTAATTATACTTTAAAATATGTTTTAAATATAAAAAAAAACTTATTTGTGTATTCTTGGGTCTTTCCGATTGTAAATTTAGTTTTGGCCAATCAGATCGGAAAGAAAGAGCGTTACTGTGACACACGCACGAAACTATTAACTTTTATATATAGACTAGTGGGAAGTACACGGCGTTGCCCGGGAAAAAAAGACACACACATCGACTTACACACACACAGACATCGACCCACACACGCAAACACATGGACCCACACACACACACACATCGACTTACACACACACAGACATCGACCCACACACGCAAACACATGGACCCACACACACACACACATCGACTTACACACACACAGACATCGACCCACACACGCAAACACATGGACCCACACACACACACACATCGACTTACACACACACAGACATCGACCCACACACGCAAACACATGGACCCACACACACACATCGACTTACACACACACAGACATCGACCCACACACGCAAACACATGGACCCACACACACACACACATCGACTCACACACACACAGACATCGACCCACACACTCAAACACATGGACCCACACACACTCACACATCGACTTACACACACACAGACATCGACCCACACACGCAAACACATGGACCCACACACACACACACATCGACTTACACACACACAGACATCGACCCACACACTCAAACACATGGACCCACACACACACACACATCGACTTACACACACACAGACATCGACCCACACACGCAAACACATGGACCCACACACACACACATCGACTTACACACACACAGACATCGACCCACACACGCAAACACATGGACCCACACACACACACATCGACTTACACACACACAGACATCGACCCACACACGCAAACACATGGACCCACACACACACACATCGACTTACACACACACAGACATCGACCCACACACGCAAACACATGGACCCACACACACACACATCGACTTACACACACACAGACATCGACCCACACACTCAAACACATGGACCCACACACACATCGACTCACACACACACAGACATCGACCCACACACGCAAACACATGGACCCACACACACACACATCGACTTACACACACACAGACATCGACCCACACACTCAAACACATGGACCCACACACACACACATCGACTTACACACACACAGACATCGACCCACACACGCAAACACATGGACCCACACACACACACATCGACTCACACACACATACATCAACCCACACACACATCGACCTAAACGCACACACATATGGACTCAAACACACACATCGACTTACACACCAATCCCTGATGATGCCACAGCTAGAGCAATTTTCTCCCTCTGGCGACTCTTAGCGAGGAGCAGGTTGAGAACAAAGGTCTTCCCAGTACCGCCAGGTGCATCAAGGAAAAATATGTTACCATTTTTCAATGTATTCCAAGATTTTTGTGTAGGCTTCTCTTTGTGCATCCATCAGCTTTGGTTCATTTTCCTCAATAAACCATCATAGGATATTTCAGTCGGATCTCTTGAGCAAGGGCATGCAGGTTGTCCCTGTAGGGTGTTGGTAGTCCAATAGACGTGGAGTCTTTTCCACCAATGGAGTGCAGTTTGTCTTCAAGGTAGATACAACTACCATGACTGCCATTAAATTTTGCAATCTTCAGGACCAGATACGTATAATTGACTAAATTCGCGAAGGTGCAGTAAATAACACCATAAATTGCAAACAATTTAATTGGAACGTTTGATTTGAATGCGTTATCTTCCAACTGTAGTGTCAATGTGCTCTTGTCCTACGTTTGACACAAATCAAAAGTGCGAGGTCACGATGATCTCAGGTGCAAGGATCGTGTTCTCATGTGCAGGAACAGCAACACAATGAGTAACGGCATTGGCTGTGATGGCCCCTTTATTGTGCGGGAATTTAAGTAACAAAATAGATAAGCAGACGTCTCATTCAAGACAATACATCTTCCTCTATTCTTTGTGGAGAGAAAAATACATGAATGAGACTACTGCCTGCTTATCTTCATTCAAGGGTCCATCGCTAGTGATCTGCTGTGGTCATGTCTGGTATACAGAAGGTCATGGGTTTGATCCCGAACCTGACGCTTGCTGTGTATTTGGAGTTTGCGTGTCTCTCTCTCCGTGGTCGGGTGGATTTTTCTTCGGGTCATCCTGGTTTTCCCTTCAAATTTAGAAACATGCATTTAAAGTCTGTGACTGAAATACATTTCCACATAACAAGACACTTTCATGAGCTATCATTTGTGACCAGGTCTCTTCTGAAAAGGACCTATACAGCTCAGCGGCCCTTACTTAGGAAAATAGTAATACATAAATCGCCTCATCAATCGGGCCATTGGTAATATGCTACCACTTAATGTTTGGTGATTTGTGAATCATTTATGTCACATGAACAATGACCAAATATATATTTTTTCAATATTTTAAGTGCTGATGTATCTGTCTGCAACCACTGAATTGACTGAACATACATTATCTCAAGTTTTTGATTACGTTTCTTTAATGAAAATCAAATCACAACATTAAATTGTAAGCAGCGAATCATCTCACATCATACACTATGGGGACCTCATTTGCCAGTAAAAACATGATAATTGGTTCTTTACCCTTCTATCTGGCAACAAAACTGACACCTTTTTACAAGGAGTCATGTTTGCATAGACCGCAATACCTGCAGTCATAAATACAAACAAAAGACATAAGGACAGTGCACATTATCAGAGTTATGTCTTTTGTTTGTATTTATGACTGCAGGTATTGCGGTCTATGCAAACATGACTCCTTGTAAAAAGGTGTCAGTTTTGTTGCCAGATAGAAGGGTAAAGAACCAATTATCATCTCACATCATGTTTAAAGAAGAGTATTCTCTTTAATTTTGTTTTTAAAGGCAATTCGGCAAAAGGATGGCCCGCTGCCTGAATCAAGCACACGTTGTTTGAAACAAGTAAACCCGTAAAAACAAAGTTTTTCACTATAAATCCTTTATATGCGTGGCATCGGGGCGGCTAGAGTCCTCTCATCCTCTGGCTTGAGATGGCTGCCACCTATGGGTCAGATGATTGTCTGGCAGCATTAAACAATTGGTAATTAAATATTTTTAAAAAATTCCCTAAACAGTGTAAAATTTTTGAATTTTTTTTCACGAAAATGCATTGTCACGCACAACGAGTCTGTGCTCGATTGGATCACGGGAAGTGGGTTAAAAAACGACCGAAAGATTTGCACGGTCCTAAGCAAGCAAGTGAACTTAATATAAAGGATTTAAAAAAGGTTGAAACAATATCCCTGCTTAAAATGTGGGTTTATAAAAAATAAAAAATAAATCGTGTCAAGTGGACAACTTACGCAACTCAAGCGAAATCGCCGTTAGCCCCTTTTTCAGGAACATCATGATGCTCGGTTACATTGAAGCATTCGATTAAGCCAAGTACAATCTGTCCAGAAACATACTAGCTAATTTTCAACGGGGAAGATAACCGCGTTCTGCAATTGCTCATTACAGAGTTGGAGGCACGGGACAGGCGAAATGAGGACTATGGAGATTATTGATCGAGTCTTTCCGACAGACCTGTTCTTCACCTGAGGACGGCTGCTTGCGTTGTGGCCGAAACGTTGTGAGAATTATTTTATTATGTTTTATTTTTATTATTTTATTATTTCCCTTCTACGTGACTTTACCGAAAGAACCAAGAAGATGAATCCCTGCAGTCACGAAAGCTTTAAATCAAAATTTACTTTGTGCATTTTCTCCTAAAATTGCCACAACATCAAGTGCGTACTGCCGGTACTATGGGTGGATCTCTGAGCCTTGAGACACCTGTCCACTTGATCACCTTATGATGTCAAAGTTTCATAGAAAGCAATCAACAAGAGACCAATTACCCAACCCAATACAAAATAAAATTACCGTACAAAACCAGTCTCAATCGCTAACATTCAAAGTGTCTCCAAAGCCATGCGTCGACAAAATCTACTTGCTAAGACCACTTGAATGAAATTAGCCAGACGTTATTTAAAAAAAACACATTCAAGGGAATTACATTCGCATTCAACTTCAGAAAACAAAATCAGCACAATCATATTGTTTTCGAAGATATTTACACGTGCACTAAATGTAATATAGATTCTTTTTTTGCTCCGATTAAAATCATTTGTGTTTTTTAGAGGCTGCCATTTCTTTGCTTACAGTGACGTTACGATGTTTGGCCCTACAGAGCCAGCGACAGCAGATCGTGATGAGCGCAGTCAACACGCTTGTCACCAGGACTATGGCTGCCAGCAGAAACGCCGCCACATCAAAGCTGGCCTCCTGGTACCAGGTGAGGTGGTGAGCCGCCACTCGCAGGTGCCCAGCACCGTGCCGCATCACAAATTCCACCCAGAACACTGCCCTGTCCATGGGCTTCTGCGGCTGGTCGTGGTACAGACGCGAGAGAAGTGACGCCTTCTCCTTGTAGCTGCTAAGAAAATCAGACACGGCAAAGGCTGCAGTATCATCCAATTTGCATGACTGTTAAGACCCACCAACGACTGCTATCACACCGTGACCACCACTGCAATCACTTTGAGCAAGGAGTCCCCTGATGGGCTTTTCTGGACCCTAATTGCACGTGACGGCTTTCGTGGATGCTTTGAGTTTCTGCTAATCAATTTTAATTACATTTCCTTGACTAGTTGAAAGAAAATGATGTTTAAGAATGAACTAATGCACCTTTCATGGGCTCCTCGGAGCTCTCTCCAGCCCATTAATTTACGTCGACTGCGCTTCATCATCGTTGGAATGTGTTCGTACCCACGCCAGAAATGTCTACTCGTCAATACTGGTAGGAACCACCTGGTTCCACCAGCCCACAGGGGATTATTGTGTCCGTCCGTCCGTCGTGCATCCAAAAATGGAAGGGGTGGGGCTGGGAGGAGAGGGGAGGGTGGGGAGGGGCTGGGTGGGGAGGGTGGGGAGGGGAGGGTGGGGCTGGGTGGGGGGTGGGAGGGGTGGGTCTGGGTGGGGAGGGGCTGGTCACCCCGTGGTTCCCTTATAAAATTCAACGTTTAACCTACTCACGCCGGCTTGTGTCCGCCCTCACAGTCGGGCATATTTGCGGAATACACCACGCCGCCGTTGACCCTGGCCATTGACCGAGCAACCCAACGTTCCTACCAGCTCCCTCCGCAGGAATGTGTTATATAAATTCGTGCACCACTTATATTATGGAGCACACAGAGAGATTAATAGTACACGTTGCACGGCCTGCTGACTCTCAGTATGTCGAGCGCAATGTTCATTCACAATGAGTCGAACTGCAATGCAACGTCGCCTCAAGACGCTGCTCATATTCATCCCACGTATCTGTAAACTTTGGCAATGTTATGGCCGTCTCTTTAATTGCTGGAATGATCGCAATGCACTCTTTTTCGTGGTGGGGAGGAGGGATGTAATTGCAGTCCCCCCTCAACAAGGGGTGTATGGGGGGGGCTGTATTCAGAGGAAGCTCCTTCGGGTATTTGTTTAGAGAGGCATCAGCTCAAGTCAGTTATTCAGCCCACCAACGATGACGTGATTTCTTACGATCCGAGGTCATGATACAATGCAAGAAGGAATAACACGAAAAATATGTTATTGTCTCTGCCATCGCATTTCTATAGTAGTCTCACTTTTTTGTCTCTCTATAAGCCTGAATGTATACATTATTGTCAATAATTAAATCAATGATTACATTCACGATCCAATACGTGTATTTTGAGCATAATAAATGATTAAATTAACGCATTACCACTTGACAGCATGCATTGTGACATTTACCCGTGACATTAAAGAAATATTCTTTGTGAATGCCATCAAAAGTGCCATGTTTAATATCTTAAAACTCTCTACCATGATTTTTGGTAAACATTTATATATGATCATTGTTTTTTTACCCTTTTATCTGGCAACAAAACTGACACCTTTTTTTTTACAAGGAGTCATGTTTGCATAGACCACAATACCTGCAGTCATAATGCAAACAAAAAACATAACTCTGATAATGTATGCACTGTCCTTGAAGTTGATTGGTCCACACCCGAGACAGCTTTCCTTAGAGCCTAGTCTCACATGGTGTTCGACCAGATGACGCCAAAAGGCACACAACTCAAAGACAATGCACCATCAGAGTATTAGAGCTCGGGGTAAGCATTTACACCATTGAAACCTCCTTTGCCAGTAGCAAAATATGATAATTGTATTTTTTACCCATTTATCTGGCAACTAAACTGACACCTTTTTTACGTAAAATATTATCATATTTTTACTGGCAAATGAGGTTCCAATGGTGTAAACATTATATACGTCAATGAAATAAACACAAAAAGCAGTTCCATAGAAATGAGTTTTCAATCTGTATTTAAAAGTGCATTGCTCCAGTGGCTTCCTAATATTGGAAGAAAGAGCATTCCAAATGACCGCAGAAGCGCCTCTGAAAGCGTGTGATGCAGTGACAGTCTTTGTTCAATGGCTCGAGCGGAAATCTTACAAAATTAAACTCATAATCAAATTGCAAAATCCACAAAGTAAGATAGTTTGGCATGGCAGAGTGCGATGAGACTGCACGCCTTTCCTACACAAGCTCCCACCGGTGCGATATTACCAGCCAATCGCTTGAGACGCACCGACCCACCACCGTACCTCTTGTGGGTGGCGATTGTGGAGATGGACGAGGCGAGAGAGCCAGCGTCGAGGGAGTGAATGTTGAGCACCAGTGCTGCACCCTTGCTTTGCATGCGGGCCATGTTTTCGAACTGGTCCCCGAAGAGTGGCAGGCCGAGCATGGGGACGCCATAGCAGATGGCCTCGTAGATGCCGTGCGATCCACCGTGCGTCACGAATACACGAGTCTTAGCGTGGGCTGTCGTCCACCGGCACCATCACAGCCAGACAGGGACACAACGCATACTCGGATGATCTTTTGAACACTTTGTTCAATAAACTATAATCTGAAACTATAAACTGTTTTCATCAGTTTAACACGTAGGCTTTCGCGACCAATATTATTCATAATATAGGTTTTTGGGTCAGACCGCGCTATTTATAAATGTGTCGTAACCCTCCACCACCCGACACGGCCAAACAGTAAAAAATGGGTCACGTTTTTTCAAAGGACAAAATAATTCACTTCTTTAGCACACCGGTGTGTTGAAGAGAGAATCAACAGTATTTTAAAATTTGAGTACGACGTTTCGCTGGTAATTACAATCAGCTTCATCGGGCAAGAATGGTGAAGCTCTCCTGTTGCTCCCGGTCTTAAATAGAGCAGCAGCAGGGTGACGTCATAATTTAATTCAATCTGGTGCAATGATTCGATGTAAGGCCCACTGAGCTATATTGCCCGTTTCCAGAAGCGACCTGGCCACAATGGCTCAACTTAGTGGCTTATCATATGGAAATGTATAGCAGCCAAATACTCTAAACGCATGTTTTTATTTGTAAAGTGATAAACCAGAGGAAACTCCACGCGACCACTGGTAGAACATACACATTTCAAATATCCAAACGCCAAATATACAGGCATGAGGGTTGAGATCGAACCCACGACTTCCTGTATACCAGGCGAGGTAGTTCATATCACTGAGCGATACATAGCTTTGGAACTAGAACATAAAGTGGCTTTGGTCAAATATTAATTATTTGAGATGTTGTACGAGCATGTTTTTCTCAGTTTGTGATGACACGTTAGCTAAATAATAATTCTCAGCCATAACCATATCTGACGTTCGGGCCGGATGCCCTGAGCTATAGGCAGAGGATTAGTAACAGTCTCATGCTGTTCACATGGCCAGGGCATGACGAGTTTATACGACTGAGTATTTTACTGCGGTAGATTTTTTTGTTCGTGCAAAAAACTGCACGTAAAGCTAAATAGGAGTAATACTATTTTACCAATTCAAGAAACCCAATTCGAAACGAAAGCTAAAACATTTTTTTTTACTTATATGTGGTGGGCTACGAGGATGTGTGTTTGAGAAACCGTATTCTTGATGAAAAGCTGGAGTAACAGAGCAGTGGTGCACATGCTGGGGGCTCGTGCTATCAGTTATATGATGTCTACATGTTATAGTTTACGTTATCATGTGAGAATAACTACATGTTATAATCCATGATATAACAGTGGCGAGCAAAACTTGGTCACCCATATATACACCACCCATGCTAGCCCAATTGGAAGACTTTAAAACCCACATTCTGATTTCTTGAGTGTAATTATCTCTTAAGAACTTAACATTTCACTTTGTTATACACTCAATGCTGCTCCACTCTGGACAGTGAGGATGAGCTAAGGGGGTGGCCAGAACCAGTTCAGATGCTACTCACCTCCGATTAGCACGGCTGGCTACGTACGGTGTGAAAGAAGTTCAACAAACATACGTACATACAGTACATACACACACACACCACTGATATTAGCCAGGGATGGGAATTAAACTCAGGTCATTGTGCAGTACACAAACCACCCCACGGTAAATGTTACATCTTCCACGTGTTTTGTTTAGGACACGCTTATATTAAAACATGCACAGGCATTGCAGCTGCAGAGACCTCTGAACCTTGGGGTGGATCTGTGCCCCCTACCGTATTCTCCACAATTCATCAAATGAACTGTGATTTGGATTTGTAACAACCAAGTCGCTTCTAGAGGGTATCCACAATGTCACATTTTTCGCTGGTCCGATAATACCTTAATTAGGTTATCACACAGCGTGTGAAACAGCGATCAGGGCAAGGCTGTTCAGTGTCAACATCAGGTGGGACGATAATACTGTAAAGTGAACGGATGACCCCTAACTAGTGGCTCAACTACATGTGTTAGATCATGGGACCTCCTTTGCCAGTACCAAAATATGAGAATAGATTTTCCCATTTTTTCTGCCAACAAAACAGGTGTTGAGATGTTAAAACACCAAATTGAAATCTTTTATAAGGTGTGGACCAATCAGTTTCAAAGACATTGCATATATTATCAGAGTATGTTTTTTTTGCATTCTGACCACAAGTATGATTCCTTGTAAAAGGTTTCAGTTTGGTGTTTTAACATCTCAACACCTTAACTTTGGAGCTTTCGTGACTGCAGGAATTATTCTTTGGTTCTTTCGGTAAAGTCACGTATAAAGAAAAGTATGCTATTATTTAATTTATTATTTTTTCTTTATACGTGACTTTACCGAAAAAACCAAAGAATAATCTCAACACCTGTTTGTTGCCAGAAAAAAGGGGGAAACCTATTCTCATACCTGTGTTGGACACAACTACAATTTGCTCCCTGGATTCCAGATGTCCAGAGACACTTTAGGGCTTGCTTGAAAATGAGTTGATGCTGTTTAATAAATAAATAAATGAAATATGCACTTTTAAAATGCTGATTATAATTATAGGTGTTACCACACGCACCTAAGAGGTCCCTCTGTGGTAACCAGGGCATCACTTTTGTGTTGTTTGAGAGCTTTTCGACGGTTGGTCCTTCATAGCGCCATATAACCTTTGGAGTAAAACACAAATGAATCAGCAGAGTTTTCACCAGCAATCAATGCTCTAGATATCGTATCACACAAGCTAATTCTATATATACTGTAATCACCTTCCATGGTACGACACAATGTAAGTAATGGGTGTGGGGAGCTGTACCCTTGCAGCATACTAGCCCACTGTGAAAAGAAAAAGGGCCCAACTGCATTCAATGTGCGTGTGTATTAAAATAATTGCATACTGACGAGCTTGTTTCATTGCTCCAAGAGAAAGTAAAGAATATTGGTGAGAATATAGACGAAAAACATTCATGTCTGCTGGTTATATTGACATTTTCAGTCCATATACACCTTCGAGGTTATGCATAATCAGTTTGTTGTTCTTCCCCCGCACCTTCGATTAGCACGGTTGGCTACGCACGGTGCAAAATAAGTTCAACATACATTCAACCATACAATTATGGGACATGTGCCAATACTGTGGTGCTGGATTGCTCTGCATCTTTGATCCAGATGTAATGTCAGCAAAAAATACCCATGCGGGATTTGGCCAGTGGGAATTAACGTTTAACAGTCAAGCAAATGAGTAAAGTGCATGGCAGTCTTTTAAGGTAAGCCAACGCCCCCAGATTTAAGTATTGTCTAATAAGACAAGATACAAATATATAACTAAAAAATAACAGTTCAATTTAAAAGTAACCTAGTAACTTAATGATGTATAAAATCCAGTGTTTAAAAGTAGGTTACGGTGTACACAGCTCATTGTAAATGATTGTCAGATTTAATTGTAAATGAGGCAATAATGCAATGTCTCGTGCAATGACTGCACATATTGTCTCGGGAATTAATCACATGAGGAGCAATGCCTTGGATATCCAACAGTGCCAATGTAAAACTCACGTGGCCACAGCGTCAATCTGCAGCAGTGTGAATATTTAAATTAATGTTTCAATATCACACGGAACTAAATTGAAGCAATATGTAACTGGATTGTTTGCGCATTTAGATTGTCAGCGACCATGGAGAAACCTGTTCTCTAGGACCTTCCACAAGTATTATTATCGCGCGCAAGGCCTTGCCAAGCCAAGCGACAGCTGCCACTTCATCAGCAGCGTGGAGGGCCATAAAGGCATAAACCACCATCGAGTCCAGTCAAAGGGCAATCATTGACAATGTGCGACACGGTCAGTCACTGACGACATGCACAGAGTGGGTTGTGGACACGCTGGTCACAGGTGTGGAGGTTGGCTGCACATATGACCCAGGCCCGTACGGAAACTGCTGAGCAAGGCCCATGACGTGGGCGAGTTGATGCCAGGAAGACGCATGGTGAGGATGAGGGATGAGAAAGTGGTTCTTGATACCTTTCACTATGCAAGGAAGGTCGCTTCTTGCATTGTGAAGCCAGCTGGACGTCACTTTGATTCATATTCATTTCCTCAATTCAATGGCTGGATATACATAAATACTAACACACTGGGTCCAATGACAACCACTCTCAGGTTGGCCCTCACATAGCAGGGCTTCGACTTTTACTTGTGTTTTGCATCAACACGTATGTATGATATGTAACTCTTAAAAGCTATATATATATATTTACAGCCCATGAGAGACCCATTTATGTCACCTTCTTCCAGCAGCAATCAATTAAAACATAACTGACATAACCCTTGGTTATACCTTGTGCAATCATGTAACATGTATTTTGTCAAAGTAGAGTTGGATTCATATTTTGGAAGTCGTGGGAGAGGACCACATATTAATTCAGCCATCTGCATGTGATGCGTAATTTCCTTATTACCTTTTGTGGGATTCTGCCCAGGCCCTCTGCAAGAATGTTTGCTATTCTATGAGGAATGGCTGACACCAAGGATCCAAATGACACCACCACCACACCATGCTCCCCAGAACTCTGCACAAACTCTTCCAAATCCTGCAAAAGAAAAAACACACACATGCATTAAATAGGCGTTTTATATTTGTTACAGTGTCTAATTATATTCTCTAGTGTGTAAACATATAATAAAAACAAGTTGTCTTTTGTACTCCTGTCATTTAAATACAATTTAGCTATAAATTATATATTTCTAGATTAATTTCCCCAGAAATTAAACTCTGCCAACTGTTTCCCAACTTGCTTCCATTATATGAATATTATCCATATGAGCAGAGCATGTAACAAACCTAATACTTAATTGTATTATACTGAAGACAACGATGTTTTCAGTTTATCTATGTGTAGTGCTGAATTTTATGCGGACTTCTTCTTTTTCCGTCGTCACTTTATTTGATCAAATTCAGCACATTTGGCTACCCAGACTCCAGCGCGTTCTCCGCTCACTCGCCGCGCTCCGCTGGCCTCGCTCGCTCCGTTCCCTCCCTCTCTCTCTCCGTCTCTTTCTCCCCCAACTCTCCTCTCTGCTTCGCCCGTCTCGGCTTCGATCGTCTCGCTCTCCCTCGGCTTTTCCGTCTCACTCCGACTGTCGCTCTCTCGTCTCCGCCTCACTCCAACCGTCGCTCTCTCTCGGCTTGTCCGTCTCACTCTGACTGCCTCTCTCTCCGTTCCCGTTCCACTGCTAGCCTATCCTTCCTCTCGTCTCCTCTTCTTCTCCTGCTCCACCGCTACCCTATTCTATCTCTCATATCTTCTTCGTCTCCGTCTCTACTGCTAACCTATTCTTCTTCTGCTCCGACCGTCTCAGTCCAGCTCCCAGCACAACTCCCCGTCTCACTCTCATGCTTCCGTATTTACGTATTTATCCCCGTCCCTATTAATTTCTAATTAATTAACCGGCGTCCCCCCCCCGACGCCCCGCGCCCGCGGCCCCTGCTGCCACCTGCTCCCATCCCCAGACTTACTGGCGCCACCTCGCCCCTGACAACAACAACCGGCCAATCACTGCCCTGTATCCCATAATTACCTAACGAGTCGTCTCCGTCCGGCCGTCGTGCCCCAGCAACACCTGCTTGTCCTGATACGACCCCACTGTCCACAACCCACATGTGTTTACAATTTCCCCCCTTGGCGCGCGTTAAACCACTACATATGTGTAAGCGTGAATATAAGAGCAAATTATTCGTGCAGGTAAAGAGTGGAGGAAAAAATACCTGTGGAAGAGGTTTAGCTTCACCAGATGTCATACCTCCGACATTCACCATGTTGGGCATAGTCGGGCGGGGATAGTCAAAGACAAAGTCTGTCCGGTACAGCCAGATGGACGCATTGCTAAGCAGCTCCATGGCCGTGACGTCCCGGCCCAGGTGGCGCCTGGCCAGCTCATCAAAGCGTTTCAGAAGGAAGTCAATACACAGGTGATCCTGCTTGAAACCCATAAACATGTTGGTGACCCGCTCGGTGAAACTCATGTGGTCTGTGAAGCCTGACATACTTTGGGGAACGTACGACGATGGTGCTGGGCAGTGGGCAGCTTTTAAGTCGATATTGCATGGAATACCACGCATTAGAAATATTGACGGGAGCCCCAGTGCATCAGCTAAAATTGCTCCACATGGATCCATGGGGTCAGCGAGAAGAACCTTAAAGTTATAGGTTCGAAGTCGCTGCATCACAGCAACATTGCCAAGTAAGCTATCACACATTCCGGCAAACTTCTTGTTGATATTCTCCAAGCTCCTAAAGGTGAATTCTGTAACGCCATCTGTTTCTTTAAATACCATTTCTCGTAAAAACGTCTCTAACATGTTATGTTTATCAACAAAGGGCACAGGGAAGGTCTCCGAGTCTAGCCCAGGCGTCTCCCCCACCATCATATTACCTGTCGCGGGTAATGCCACGACCACTCGGTGACCACGCCGAGATAAGGCGAGGGACAGATCACGCAGGCTCATCCAGTGGCTGCCATCAGTTGGGTACACCAGCATGCCACCCACAGCACGGTCACCGTCAGATTTCTCCTGGCCCATGGCCATGTGCATGAAGACGAGGGTTTGAGCAAAGCTGAAACACCACCGCATGGCCTGGCAAAAACAATACACAATTGATCGAAATACGGTCGTGGTTTAGCTATTGTCTTTTTGTTCTTTTTCATTGGTTAATATTTAAGGTAGAAATTGTGATAACTCTAAAGACTAGAGATAGGATGAAGCCAAATTTGGATTAAAATTTGATTTGCTGTGGCACTTTTCTCGGAGTTGATAAATCCAAATCTGTATTCAAAATCGTATGCATTTTTGGGCAGAGATGTGCATCCTGTAAATTGAGTGTGTTTAAGTGTAAATCTGTGGTACACTGTTACATCTAAAGACGAGGCAATCACACACACACATTACATATTGGTATACTATATGGAGACACGAAACAAAAGGTTTACAAGTTAAGGAGTACAGATAATAGTATATATACTGTTGTGTAAATTCTTGGGAAAAATTGGTAGTGAATGTTTATTTCATTAACAATTTACGTAATGTTTCTCAAAAAACGATTTGGAACTGGATTGCTATGTGACGATTTTGTATTTTATCACCTACGGACGATAGTTTATGTTATATTGGTCTCTTTCTGTCCTTCTAACGAGACAGGTTGCTCAAGATTGAGTTGTTGGACGTTTATATATATGCTATATGGATGACATATTGTATAACTATGTAAAATATTAACTTAAACAACAGACAAAAATCTTAACGGCTCCCTAATTTATACATACAAAAATCAGCATTGTAAGTTTTTTCCTTTTATCCAGAATGTTATGCTTTTACAAATATAAACTGACCATCTGTGGTAAAATAACAGATGTTGGCAACATAATGAATTAATCTTACTCTTTGGTTCTTTCGGTAAAGTCACGTAGGTAGAAAAAATAACAAATCACGACGTTTCGATCGCAGGTGACAACAACAACAACAACTTCAGGTGAAGACGGTCGCTTGTTGTTGCGATCGAAACGTCGTGATCTATTGTTTTTTCTACCTACGTGACTTTACCGAAAGAACCAAAGAGTAAAGATTCCTGCAGTCACGAAAGCTTCAAATCAAAATTGAATGAATCAAAGTTAATATTTAGTTTAAAATGAAGCGATGTGTACTAACATGACATGTCCGAACCAAGCATTAGGAAATATTCATTATGGATGTTATGGTTTGTCATTTGCCAGTTATTTTTTACTTTCTGTGTGTCTTTGAAGCTGATACGAGTTATCACATTAGATTCCTACATTATATAAACAAATGATAATTAACATATTAAAAGTTATGTCCTCTGCAAATACAAATACAAGTTGGTGCCTTGTCATTTCGTTTACTTTTTTCACTTTCTAAAATTCCATTGATAAAGATTTGTGTTCATCTGATTCAGTTAAGGATTCAAAAGCTCAGAAGAAAATTCAGATCTGATTTATTCGGCTATGATGGATTTGTTTAAAGACAACTGAATATATGTACGAGAGAACTGCATGTCTTATCGTGAAACAGCTCACATCATATTTTTAGGTATTCAAAGTACGTTTTTTTGTTCAAATTTCCAAAATATAGTATCCATTGCTGTTTTACTCATTTATTCTGTAAAATGTAACATATCGTGAAGGCATATTGTTTGCAACATACATTTTAAATGGGATATCTTAAAACAATTTAGACATTCATGAAGTGCAGAGGATGAAGGCCATTTGTGTTACACGTGACCTTCGTTAATGCAGTTGGGTATTGTGCAAGAATCTCAAAAAAGACGAGTCATGCCATGTTGCCAGCTTTTATCTGGCGTAACCTTGGCTATATCCTTAAATGCTTTTGCAAGAGCCACATTTCCAATTGTAGTCTGCCCTTTCCACCATGACGAAAGAATAGATTTTCTCAAAAAGTTTTATGCTGATTTTGATATCGGCATCATGTCGTCAGGTGAAGAGTACATTCGGAGATCTTACAGAGAAGTGCAAGCCTTTGTTAGAGAATGGCCTGCAGAAGCAAATATCACAGAGCTACCCTTGAGATATGCATACGAGAGTAATGTTAATCACATGACAGTCTAACCGATATTTTAATTCTCAGTGCTGGAATTTGGTCAAATAACATGCTGAATCTAATTCAGACCATCAAATACAGTAACTGCAATGGAGACGCTGGTGGCATGTAGTCAAAAAGCGAATTTCTAGCACTTGTACGTACTGTTGGAACAGCAACTTAAAGAGTGCAAAGATACATCTTAACGGCCTATATACTGTATGGTACTGGTTAGTAAATCCAATGTAAAGGTATGGACACCTATTAACAAAAACAGATTATTACAGTGTATAAATGATGTGCAATAATCTCGATGAATTTGGAAATGAAAAATTATTGCAGCCGAGCCAATCAAAACAATTATCAGGAAGACCCAACTTGAGAGAATGCCTTCATCTAAGAAAAAACACACGGATTTATAACTGCTATTAAGCAATCATAACAAAACGGCTTACAACAAAAAATAACCCATTTTAACATTCCAACAATGTTAAACTCACCACAAAAACTACATTTTAGATATCTGTCATAGATTCAACAGGTGATGGGTCCTCACCAGTTTAATAACTGAATGTTATTGTTGGTTATAAACAATATATATCCAACAACAACGCAGCGTTAATCCAGGCACTTGGCTTCAATATTCTAAAAATACTTTCCGTACTTACTGCTTAATCTTTTTTTCTGAAGTAACTTAGATGCTCGGACGAGGCAGCAGATCTTGATTTAGGGGACACTGCTTTGCATAAATTGTGCTCATTCGGAAGCAGAGAAGGCAATCGTCCAATTAAGAGGAGCGTGGCAGAAATGTTATAAACTTTCAAAACACCACGAATGCAGCTCGGCTGTGAACACTGCGAAACGTTGAAACACGTTACACAGCGCACCGTTCCGTGGGTGTACGCCCTTTGGTTAACAAACAAGAAACGTTGGACTTTGACTTGATAAAAAAAAGTCTACTTTATAACCAGTAAAATTGCGCAACACTCTACAAGCTTGAAATTATTTTCCAATAAGAAGTGAGGGTGTAAATAAATCAGTACTACCTATTCATTGGCCTGGTCAGCTTTTCTAGACACATTTGTTTAAATTTTAATAAGCTATTTGTCTTTCAAATATATCCCTCTACATACAACATTAAGTATTTTTTGCAAATTCGATCAGCCATAAGTCCTCATGGGAGTGCATAATTTCAACATACTTGCCTATAATAAATAACAAACTATGTTTTACCCGCATTTACTTCGTGAATAGAAAGCAAAATATTCTATTGAGAACTCGGAGGCACGGAGCCAGAACTCCAGGACTCCTTCATACGCCGGCATGAACATGAGAGAGCCTTGAGCCGTCTCTTGAGGATGAGTGGTGCTTGGATGCTGTTGCTGCGTGTGTGCAGTGGGAAAGAGTTCCAAATGGCTGATAGTGCATCTACGGAGAAACGTCGCTCAGCCAAAACAGTCCCTGGTTCTGGGTATGAAAGGGAGTCCACAGGAGTCGTCCTGCTAAGGGAACATTATTGTTCCATCAACATCGACAAGAACATTTGTTGGGCACCACCACTGTTGTTGATGACCAGTCATTTCTTTCCCAGAGCCCTCCGGCTTTGTTTACCACCCCGTTATATATCCTACCCCCCTTCTCTCCTTCTTCCGTGCCAATCTGTGTTTCTCCCTCATTCCTCATTTCCCCCACCTTTCCTTGCCAGTGCCGTTCTTCAGTTATTTCTCTCGGGGTGGACCCTTATTCTTTTCATGACCCCTACACTCAATCCTGACCGTGTCCCCGAACAAACTCTACGAGTGTAATAAATAAGTTGTTAGGACGCGTAGGTTTGCTGTGGTGGTTTGAGTGAGAAGGGTGGAGAGGTGTGGCAGGAGACCTTGAATAAGAGATCGATGGCACCGGATAGCGATTTTTGTACTGGGTCCTTTATTAGATCGGTATCCAGTGGAAGCTAATTTAGCAAAGCCATGGGAGCCTTATGACGACACCTAATGCTGAGGTCGGTGCGTGACAGGTCGTTTTGAAACTCCTGTAGTTTAAGGTGCTTTGCTGGAATTCGAGAAAGGATGGCGTTGTAATAATCAACATCTGGCAGTTTAAGACGTAGGCTTTTGGGACCTATATCATCCATTATACAGTTTTTTTTGGGTTAGATCATGTAAATATAAATGTGTCGTTAAACCCACCACCACCCGACACAGCCAATTAGTAAGGGTTATCACGTAAACAACATTCCAATTCGTTATTAGTGTAGTGGTGATAACTACTCGCTGTTCGCACGCTGTGAGAGAGCGGATCGTAAACACGATTTTCCTGCTCGATCTAACGGTCAGGGTCAAATGGGGTAAGGTAGGATCCAAACACCAGATTGGGAAGGACCAATCAGAGGGTTCCACAAGGTGGCCGGGGATTGGACAACCTGGCCACGAACCAGTATAAAAGCCAGAGCGCTGAGAGCTCTTGGCAGTTCTGCCTACATGAAGACCCAAGTCGGCCGAAGACAGCTAGGACCCTGGACCAAGCCTTCCAGCCCTTATCAGGGCTAGGGCTCATTGTAACCAGTGGTTGGGGGAGATTAGGTCCTGGATAGGCAGGACCCTGGCTCCCAGCCTTCCCGCCCTTGTGAGGGCGAAGGTCCTGAGTGACCAGAGGTCGGGGATCCACCGGGCCAGCGGTGGGTCAATGTACCTCCTTAGGATAAGAGATAAGCGTGAGTGTTGAGCTGTGTAAGGTCCGGAGGTTGTATCTCCCCAGGGTAACGGGTAAGGGGACCGTATACCCCTTGTGTGTTAGGGACTGTGTATTAAGAGACAATAAACAGTGTGTGCCTTAAAGAAATTTATTAGTCCGTCCTTTACAATACTACCCTAGTGTAGTGAGTACAACTGAGTCGCAGACGTTGTTTTGGAAGCAACACTATTTATTCAATAAATCAACATAACATAACACAACCTACACTTGCGTGTTGAATGCCCATCTAGCCACACTACGGCAGAACTAGACACGGTTCGCTGTTCTGGCCCGGACCACAAGCTGGGTCCCAGAACACGTGGCTAGAGGCTTCTCTTTTACCCGACGTGGATCTTCATCACCAGCAACACGAAGAACGCCGAGCCCCTCATGGGGCCCTCGTTATGTCGGCCTGGGCTGGGGTTGGCTCCGCCCCTCGCCCGCCCACCTTCTAGATCTCTCGAGCTCTTTCCCGAAGACTCCCTGAGAGCTCCTTTAGACCACGTGACCACCTAGCGGCCCCACTGGTGGCCCCCCTCCAATATCATCCGGTCACGTGTCGGCAGGTCAACCAGCGTATCATGCCCCAACGTAACCGTGGCTGGCTGACACTCCCTCTCGCTCCCTCACCGGGAGCCTGCATCGCACACTGTACGTGGTGCCTCCGCGCTGACCAGCGCTCACCCAATCCCCACTAGGGCTGGTACTACGCCCAGCAAGCGGGCTACACATAATGCCAACATTATCCGCCATGGCTTCATAAGCCCGGCACCACACAGTGACAATCACAGTCACTATACTAGTACAGCACATCGGTGTGTTGGAGAGTAAATTCACAACATTTACAATCTGAGTACGACGTTGCACCAGTAATTACAACCAGCATCATCAGGCGATAGCCAGATTTGTGGAGAAATTCTCCTGTTTCATTTGGCAGTTCACAAGTTCAAGCAAGCCTGACTGCTGATAAGACACTGTCTGTCGAAACTGGTCCAGAGTTTGCCTGCATTGAACCCATGCGGCTGAAATTATGAACTGCCAGAATGGCTGATGTAATGTGTTCAAAGTATTTTTGGTTATGTTTTATGAAGAGGTACAGATGTATGAAGATGTATTGTTTACTTATTTATTGTGATGCATATATTCTGCACAATGACGCTAATTATGATAGCTACACTTGAACACATATAAATATAATAGTTTTAGATATGTTGGAGAAAGTTGAGTGATATAATGCGTTTTTGAATCCCTGTTTCGCCAATCCAATTTTCAAAAAACATCTTCTTATCTTGACATAAATAACTTTGGTAAAAGTGTTCCACCCTAACTCCCCTTTCAATATTTGTCATGATTGATTTGGAATACATTAAAATGGATGACTATACACCACGTTATCCTAAAAATATTCTCGATACTACAACCTCGGTCATGGGTAATATTATATAATCATGTTTATTTTCATATCGTGTGGTTCATGCAAATGGAATCTCACAGCGCTGATGAACTAGTGAATCTGAAGGCAGCCAGATGGTGAGCCGACCCTAACAATTGCCCAATCTCTGGAGTCATCTCTATTTTAAGATGTTTTCAGATAATTACTGAGCCTTTATATAATTGGGAGGGAACTGGAGCATCTGGAGAAAACCTACACGTGGAGGGTGCAACACTATCCCAGACGGAAGGGACAGATTAAATTAATCTGCACTTTGCCCGTACCGCCTTCTCATGGCAAGCCAAGAAACGGCAGGCACCTTAACGCCAATGGAAAGGGAGTTTCAGAAACATCTGGGTGACCCACCAACCCTCCCTTGCACAGTGAATTACAGGCAGACGCCACCACAGCCCAGCTAATTATTCCCACCATAAATTGTCTGGTGGCAATATTTTTAAAAGGGCCTGTTTGTGTACTATATAATACAAATGTATCATATTAATTCCATAAGAATATGAAAATTTTCTCCAAACAGATATATGACTATTAAAAGAGAATTAAGTCTCCCGTCTGATGATGCTGACTAATCTCTCAAATCTCACCCATGTTTCGACGTAAAGTTTCAACATAATATTCGAGAGGGAAACGCTTGGAGGCCGTCGGTCAGTGCCACCGGGGGTCGTGTGAGGCCGTGGCACTCTGTGTGAACCCGGCCGGACACGTGACCGGATCAAGGTGGGGCCACGTGGCCAGAAGCAGAGCATTCTCGAGGGTTCTCGAAGGTGGGCGTGGCCTGGGTGTGGCCTGGCCATGCCCAGGCGCATATAAGGGGGCTGCTCGGGTCCGGGATAAATATGCCTCATGAAGACGCCTCATGAAGAGTGAAGTCAAGCCTCAGCGTGGCAAGCAGTAGCCCTCCTGGCTTGGCCATGCCAGTTGCTATCAGTGTCGAGTGTTAGCGAGGATAGGTCAGTGGTCACCACCCTATGTGTAGTGTGATTCCACGTTGTGTTAATAAATAATGTTGCCTTCCCATGACAGTGTGTGCACCTCTATCGAACCATTTCACTTCCTATCATACAGAATGAACATTTAACGTCGCCATTTATCTTCTGGGACCATTTCTATACCTAATACACCCCCCAGTGGAGCTCTGCCATTTCATACAAATACTTTCGATACATGAGTTGATAGCCTACGCCGTGTGTCGAGATTTCAGCTGCATCTATTCAGTTCCAGTCTGAAGAGCCATGTTTAAGCATCCAGGAGGCTAAACAAGACCGAACAGGCCAGCACACCGGCACTTATTCATAGAATGTTGTGCACAGAAATAGAAAGATTTTGTCACTGCAATCATTCAAATAATACCATAATTTTGTTCTTCGTTTTTTCTCTGTTTAATTTCATATGTTATCATATTGTGCTGCAGTTGTTGCTGTGTTTGTTATGGTGTGTATTGTGTTGGATTCATTTTGCATCCACACCAACATCAGCTCCACAGTTCTCTCCAGTAGGAATTTTCTGCCCCGACACCAGCCTCCAAAGCGCTGGCCCCTAGCCTGCCGGACCAGGCATCGATACACTACCGGTCTTGCCAGCCTGGAAGCAGCGCCTGCCGTGGCCATGTAATCATGGCTAAAGTGACCAATCTGTACTGTGGCTCACAACGAAGGGTCACGTTTATTTTTTTTAATAGAAACCGTTTGATACAGTCACAACAAAGGACACGCTCATATGCAAAGTAGGGTTGGTAGGTCTCAGAGGTCGCAAACGGGTTTTGATTCCTTACCCGTACCCGGCCGCACCAGGGTCGCAAACGGGTATCCGTACCCGGCCGTACCCTTACCCTTACCCGTACCCAGCCGGGTACGGGTAAGGGTACGGATATCGGGTACCTGATTGCGACCTCTGGGATGAAGCTATGTTGCAGGCGTGGGTGGGTTGATTCTAGGAACTTGAATTGTGAGAAGAGACTAGACGTTGGGAAATGAGTGACAAACAGTTACTCACCAGTGACTCACGGTTTTCCCGTACCCGGCCGCACCAGGGTCGCAAACGGGTACCCGTACCCAGCCGGATACCCGGCTACCTGGGTACGGGTAGCCGGGTATCGGGTAGGGTATCGGGTACCCGGTTGCAACCTCTGGTAGGTCTGAAGATTGCGCCCCCTGTGTTGGCTCCACTCCCTGACAGGAGCTTACCCAGGTATTGAGGGTTCAAGTTCTCACCAAGGTGGGGAACGGGGGCATGGGGGTAGGAAAAAGATAACGAACAAAATAAAAGAAAGGAAAAAATGGACCCACACCCACCCACTCTCCTGTATGTATGTTGAACTTCTTTCGCGCCGTACATAGCCAACCGTGCTAATCAGAGGTGCAGGGGAAATGACAACAAACTGAACACAAAAGCAGTTCTAATGAAATTAGTTTTCAATCAAGATTTAAAATTGCATATCTCTAGTGGCTTCCTAAAAGCAGAAGAGCGTTTTTAGACGGCCGCAGAAGTGCATCTGAATCCGCGCGATGCAGTGACCATATTTGTTTGATGGCTAACCAAAAGCCTCTGCAAGTGTGACCGGAGTTCGCGTGATGGTTTATGCTCCTTGACGAGATCAGCTCTCACGTAAGATATACTGAAACCTCGAGCCCACCTCCCCACTTCCTCGCCATTCCTTCTCCATTCATGTTTACACCATGGTACAATTCAGTAGCTTGTGCTAGACAGGGTTGTTGAGAAATGATGGCCCCATACCGCCTCGAATTCCCGTGCCTTCCCTTTGAATTTGTAACTGCGGTGCTCCATTGCGGTCAGGGCATACGGTGAGCGATTGGGTCCGGTGTTTCCACGAGGGGGGTTCACGGTCCTTCCAATTGCCTAGGATCGATTTCCTCGCAACAAACATTTAAGGCTTGGAGTATAGTATACTGTGACTTGACTACTCCCACTAGTTTTCTGGGCCCCAATGCCTTCTTTAGTGTATGAAATATAATGGGAAGGTTTGATTTGCATGCATTTTTTTTAATCCTCCTATTGTTGCTCCACGTGTGTTCCTATGTATGACACAAATCAAAGGTGCGAGGTCACGATGATCTAAGATGCAAGGATCGTGTTCTCACGTGCACAATCGAGTAACGGCATTGACTGTGATTGCCCCTTTATTGAAGACACTAAACAATCATTCACGTTGGTGTGGGGAATTAAAGTAACAAAATATATAAGCAGACAATGTCTCATTCAAGACAATACTTTTTCCTCAATTTTTTTGTGGAGTGACAGATATACGAAGGAGACTATTGTCTGCTTATCCTTCATTAAAGGGTCCACCGTTATTGTTCTGGTGTGACCATGTCTGATCGGAGCAATGGTATCACCTCATTAACAGGGCCACGGGTATTAGGCTTTGCCACCAATCAATTGACTTTATATAAATCGTCGTAAGTTTTGCATAACTTTCTTTTAAATAAAAAAAACAAATCACAACCTTACATTTAATCAACAAATCATCATTTTTCGGGAAGAGCATTCTCTATTAAATGGTTTGAAGGGAATTTGCCAAAAGGCTGCCCCCACTGTCCGATTTAAGCATGCGTGGCTGTTTGAAAAATCGGTTTAACATAACAATGACTTGTGTTTTTTAGAGGCTGCCATTTCCTTGCTTACAGTGGCGTTACGGTGTTTGGCCCTACAGAGCCAGCGACAGCAGATCGTGATGAGCGCAGTCAACACGCTTGTCACCAGGACTATGGCTGCCAGCAGAAACGCCGCCACATCAAAGCCGGCCTCCTGGTACCAGGTGAGGTGGTGAGCCGCCACTCGCAGGTGCTCTGCACCGTGCCGCATCACAAACTCCACCCAGAACACTGCCCTGTCCACGGGCTTCTGCGGCTGGTCGTGGTGCAGACGCGAGAGAAGTGATGACTTCTCCTTGTAGCTGCTAAGAAAAACCAGACACGGCAAACGCTGCAGTATCATCCAATTCGCATGACCGTAAAGACCCACCCAGAAACTGCTGTCACACTGAGAGAGTGGTCCGCTGCCACAGGTTAAACAAAATGTACGTTTATGGACACTTGTTGCACGTGACAGTTTTGGTGCATGCTTTGAATCACCTGTTCACGTGGCTGGTGATACATTTGATAGCAACAAAAATTGCACTATTTATTCCAAGTTTAAACCCTCATATTTAGCCAACATCATATCTGTCACTGACATTGTATGCAACAATGCAAACTTCGAAACACGTTTACAAAATACAAGAGCGTGGAATGGCAGAGTGCGATGAGACTGCACGCCTTTCCTACACAAGCTCCCACCGGTGCGATATTATCAGCCAATCGCTTGAGACGCACCGACCCACCACCGTACCTCTTGTGGGTGACGATTGTGGAGATGGACGAGGCGAGAGAGCCAGCGTCGAGGGAGTGAATGTTGAGCACCAGTGCTGCACCCTTGCTTTGCATGCGGGCCACGTTTTCGAACTGGTCCCCGAACAGTGGCAGGCCGAGCATGGGGATGCCATAGCAGATGGCCTCGAAGATGCCTTGCAATCCCCCGTGCGTCACGAATACACAAGTCTTAGCGTGGGCTGCCATCCACCGGCACCATCACAGCCAGACAGGGACAACCTTCGATTAGCACGGTTGGTGATGTACGGTGCGAAAGAAGTTAAACATACAACACACATATTCGGATGCTTCTTTGAACGCCTCGTTCATTTATGTTGTGCGTGTTACATGGCTTTGGAACTGGAACATACAGTGGCTTTGGTCAAAAATCATGATTTTAGATGTTATACAAGCCCGTTTTTCTCAGTTTGTGATGGCACGTGAGCTTAAGTGTAATTCGGAGCTGTAACCACACCTGACGTTAGAGTTGGATGCTCTGAGCTATAGCTACACGGAGGAGTAACCGTCTCGTGCTTTGACATGGCCAGGGAATTCCTATAGCTTATACTACGGTATATTTCTTACTGAGGCTGTCCAAAAATAAAAGAACCTCAACAACTGCAAGTGGAACTAAAAATAGTAATACTTTATTCTAAAGAGAAAAAAACTCCCTGAAAAGCAAAAGCTCAAATAAAATGTACTGAATTAAACTTAACCAAAATAAATGCAAAACGTTGAAAATTGAGTTTGCAGCATGCATATTGTTATGATAGATGTATTGCGATCTCTATTGGAAAACTGAGGTAACTGCATGCAGACCATTTCCGGAATGTGGACGTTGGTACTAAAAGAGAATAATACGTTCCTTCGGAGTGGGCAGGTAGGAACAACAGGTTCCACACTCGATTTAAAGCTTTCGTGACTGCATGGATTCATCTTCTTGGTTCTTTCGGTAAAGTCACGTAGAAGGGAAGTGATAAAATAATAAAAATAAAACATAATAAAATAATTCCCTTCTACGTGACTTTACCGAAAGAACCAAGAAGGCAAGAGAAATGTTAAGATGAACATGGTAGGATGACATCAAGGAGTAGACACATCTCATAATGGGGAATAGCATGTGAGCATGTGCAGTGCTCGAGGAAGTGCTGACACGTTGGCTGTGGGCCTTGGCACTTGGAGCCGACACTGACGGATGCAATTAAACAAATGCTGAATACAGATATTGCAGCACGCACCTAAGAGGTCCCTCTGTGATAACCATGACATCACTTTTGTGTTGTTTGAGAGATTTTCGAGAGTTGGTCCTTCATAGCACCATATAACCTTTGGAGTAAAGCACAAATGAATCGACAGAATATTCACCAATAAACGAGACACTAGTTGTAACGTCGCAGGAGCTTATTCCATGGAATCAACTTACATGGTAACACAGAATATACACATCGTTTATGAATATTGGTAATGGGTAGGAAGTTATCGAAATATGCAGTGAACACCTACGGACTATCTGCCCATGGATCGTGGTGATCATGATAATGATTAGGAAACTTTAGTCTTTCCGTGTACTCGCCCAATCGACCCAACTACGTTCCATTTCATAAACGGACCTAACTATATTCATTGTGCATGTGTTTAAAAAGCATTGCATACCGGTTGAGCTTGTTCCATTGCTGCAAGAGCAAGGAAAGACGATGGGTGAGAAGGTAGGAGATTTTTTAAAATCATAGATATATTGCAATTCTCTGTCCATGTGTGCTCTCTAGGCTATACATAATTACGGGACGTATGTAAACACTCTGGTGGACTACTCTGCATCTTTCACCTCGATGGAATGTCAGCAAACAATACCCATACGGGATCTGGACAGCAGACGGTTATATCTGACAATCTTGCGTATTAATAATGTGTGTGGCTGGCGGGTAAGACTAGCCAATGTCCCCCAGATGCAAATACTGCGTATCAAACTAAGAGCCAAACATAGTATAACAGATAAAAACGCATTAAAAAAGTTAACTTTGAAAGTAACCCAGGAAATATTAATGTGTAGACTGGTTTGCACCATAGGTTACATATTACACAGCTCAACATAAATTAGTATCTGAATTGCATTATAATTAAGGCAATAAAGCAATTGTTTCAGGATTGAGTTATACATTATTTGAGGCAATGCTTCTTCTGACCTCTGAGCCACCGAGTTGCATCAAATTGTATTTTTTTCCTAAGCGTTGTGTCGAACAGAACGCGTGGGTAACCACTGCACGTGGCTGAAGGCCCCCTTGGGATTTCGCTCATGCTCTGTATCAACTCCTTCCATACAATATGTCATAGAAACGGTTATATTTATTTTCCAAACCATGAGAGAAACATTTATGCCACCATCTTCCAGCAGCAATCAGTAAAACAAATTACTGACAGATATGCATGGAGGTTGAACTTATTTTGCAACCGTACGTAGCCACCCGTACTGATCGGTTGTGTGGGGGAAGGACAACACACTAAACACAAAACGCAGTTCGAACAAAAATAACTTTTCAATATAGATTGCACAAGGTATCATCAAGGGAATGGTTATACCCTGTGCAATCATGCAACATGTATTTTGTCAGAGTGGAGTTGGATTCAGATGTAGAGGTGTTACGGAGGGCAAACAAACACACTGGGCGTGGTTATGCCCGTACGCCGAGAGGTGCTTACATCCACGTCCGCACCGTTTAGCCTGGGGGGCTAACACGGCGCTGGGATCCCCCACGGCCCCACCCCTCAGTGGGGGAGTTGCTATATAAGGCGGTGAGCCGGAGGGCTCGGGGTTCAGTGTTCAGCCTTAACCAGCGAAGCAAGAAGACCTGCTAGATAGGCCCTGGGACTCCCCTGGATCGCTGTCCTTCTCAGGACCGACCAGGGCAAGCCAGTGGCGTGGCCCCGAGAGCCCAGAGCCGATGCTCTTGTAAGAGCCGGTCTGGGGACTCAGGGTGCCGTAATCCCAGCTTAACCAGAGCTGGGTTAGCTAGCCTCCCCTAGCCCTGTAGTGGAGGACCTAGGAGTAGGCTAGCCGTGACATAGATCGTGTGATCTCCCTGTTAGACAGGTGAAGGGGCCTATACCCCTTCGAGTGTCGTACATCTCGGCCTGTTATGTACTTTGCGGTTAATAAATAAGTGTGCCTCCAACTACGTCGTCCAAGTCTCCTGGAACCTACTACACATATGTTTGGAAGCCACGGGATAGGACCACATATTACTTCAGACATCTACGGTACATGTGATGCGTAATTTCCTTATTACCTTTTATGAGATTCTGCCCAGACCCTCTGCAAGAACGTTTGCTATTCTATAAGGAATGGCCGACACCATGGATCCAAATGACACCACGACCACACCATGCTCCTCAGAACTCTGCATAAACTCCTCCAAATCTCTCAGGATAAAAACACGCCCAAATGGATTAATTAGGCGTTTTGCATTGGCCATTGTGGTGTCAAATCATATTCTCCAGTGTGTAAAAATGTAATTAAAACAAGTTAAATGCTACACCCAGTTTGGCTAGCATGAGCTAGAATTTATTAAATATTCGTCTTTCCCTCACCACGTATTTTTTTATCTCCAGAAAATGAACTCTTCAAGCTGTGCCCAAAGTTATTTAAGTTATGTTATCCATATCATCAGAACATCATAATTATAAATCTTAATAGTCTGAACAAATGCAGGTAAAGAGTGCACATTGACGGTAACATTTTTACCTGTGGAAGAGGTCTCACATCATCGGATGTCATACCTCCGACGTTCACCATGTTAGGCATAGTCGGGCGGGGATAGTTAAAGACAAAGTCTGTCCGGTGCAGCCAGATGGACGCATTGCTAAGCAGCTCCATGGCTGTGACGTCCCGGCCCAGGTGGCGCCTGGCCAGCTCATCAAAGCGTTTCAGAAGGAAGTCAATACACAGGTGATCCTGCTCCAGGCCCGTCAACATGTTTGTGACCCGCTCTGTGAAACTCATGTGGTCTGTAAACCTTGAAGTACTTCGGGGAACGTACGACGATGGTGCTGGGCAGTGAGCAGCTTTTAAGTCGATATCACAAGGAATACCACGCATTAGAAATACTGAAGGGAGCCCAAGTGCATCAGCTAAAATTGCTCCACATGGATCCATGGGGTCAGCGAGAAGAACCTCGAAGTTATGGGCACGAAGTCGCTGCATCACAGCAACATTGCCGAGTAAGCTGTCATACATTACGGCAAACCTCTTATTCATGCTCTCCAAGTGCGTAAAGTGGAATCCTGTAGAGCTACCCTTTTCCGCAAACACCACATCACGCAAAAAACTTCCTGAAATTTGCTTCTTCTCCCCATCATTGGGGTGCCTTCATTCTGTTTGTAAAAAGTACCATTCCAGGTGAAGTGTTGGTAAGGCAGTGCCTTACCAATAGAGAGAAATAAAACATAATTTTAACCGATCGGATAGCTATATTACAGTTACATACTAATTTCTCACATTAACATCACTAGCCCCGCCACGTCTTTATGACCCTTGGGCTACACCCATTTCAAACTTTTAAAACAGTCTGCCTCAGCAGCAGACCGTGCTTTCCCACCTGACGACGGACGCTTGTGTTGCGCCCGAAACGTCGTGATTTATTTTATTTTATACCTACGTGACTTTACCGAAATAACCAAAGGGTATGGATTCCTGCAGTCACAAAAGCTTCAAATCAACTATGAAGCTCTTTTTCACAGATGTCCATTAGGGGCGGGTCAGAAAGTTACAACAATAAACTCTTTAAAAAAGATAGGAGTGCAAAGTATATGAAAGGTAAGCAAATCACAAAACATGAACACAAGGCACATCTGAAACACGGTAGGACCAATACCTCTGCCGTTGCTGATCACTGTTTTAACGCTGCGAGCTCACACACCGGCTATTATCAGAGATTTGTTCATGAAGCCATCCAGATATATAAACACAGACACAACTTCAACCGAGAAGATGGATACAAACTGAGCAATCATTGGAAGGACGTTATTAACCAAGTAAAGTCTTAACTGACTGTGATGTTTCCATCCTACCTGCCTATGTCAGCTGTTATTTCCGACTCTCTGAGTACATCACCAGGTTAAATATCTGTGTGGCAGCCCAGCCACAGGAGGATCCCCGCCACCTCCGGTGGATGGGACCGTCTCACATTGGCATGCTAATCTCTCACATTTACGTACAAACTCTTGTTGCAGCAGCTCTTTCTCCTATGTCAGCAGTTCTCCTGCTGTATCTGTTCCACCTGATGACGATCGCTTGTGTTGCGATCTAAATGTCGTGTTTTATTTTATTTTATACCTACGTGACTTTACCCAAAGAACCAGAGTATGGATTCCTGCAGTCACGAAAGCTTCAAATCAAGATATGAATTAAATATAAATATTTTTTTTATTAACTAGCTAATGCCCACTGAGCTTTTAGTTATTTTTCAGAAGCAACCTGGCCACAAATGATAGCTCAACGAAGTGGCTTATCATGTGGAAATTCATGTGGAAATGTCCAGTAGGGGCGGGTCATGAACTTACTTCAAAAGAAATGTTGAAAATGTCATGGCTTTATGCGCATTGTAAATTTCCAAACACAAATATAATTATTTTACTTGTAATATTTGAGCTCAATAAGCCTCAATAGTTTGGTCTGTAAAATTTAAAACTATTCAAAACGTTTAAACTGACCCAGTGAGCACTTGCTGGACGAAATAAAAAAAACACGTTTCAAGAAGAATGTAATACGAGTCATCATACAGTAGAATTCACATTCTGGAGGTTATCGTTGACTCATGTCTGAAGTGAATGGGGTCCTGCATTGTGATATTTGACCAAAGCCTTATTGTGTTGTTGCTTGTTGGTGGTGGTAAACTAGTACCTGGAGAAAACCCACACATAACAGGGGATAATGAAGAACTGCACGTTGACAAGTCTGAGATTAACCCACAAAGTTATTTCCCAAGTCACGTAGGTAACAAATTAAATAATGAAAATAAATAATAAAAATAATAGAAAAAATAGTGCTTTATTATTTAATTTCTATTATTTTTTTCTTATTTATTTTTCTTATTATTTTTTTCCCTACGTGACTTTACCGAAAAAACTTAAGAGTATGAATCCTTGCAGTCACGAAAGCTTCAAATCTAAAATCTAGAATTATAAGGCCCTCTGGTCTGACAAGACGACCACGTCCAACGCCCCCCCCCCACCCTGCTTCCAAAAATATCTTCCAGAAGACACGGGCCCGTTTTATATGAGACACACCCGCCGCGCGTGCTCTTCCGGAAGATAGCGACGCGTTCCCTCCCACCCGCAGCCACTGCGAAGTAATCTTCCGGAAGATGCATCTGCTCGTTTTTTTTACTCAACTACCATTGAGCATTCGTCTTCCGGAAGTGCTTCTGCGTCTTCCGGAAGACGCAGCGTCGCCGTTGTGTGACCGTTGTTGTTGTTTGCCATTGGGCAGAGGCGGTACCACGTGGGATGGGGGCGTGGCTTAGGGGAGGGGGGCGTGGCTTAGGGGAGGGGGGCGTGGCTTAGGGGAGGGGGCGTGGCTTAGGGGAGGGGGGCGTGGCTTAGGGGGTGGGGTTTGGCTTAGGGGAGGGGGCGTGGCTTAGGGGAGGGGGCGTGGCATAGGAAAGAGGGCGTGGCTTGGGGGAGGGGGCGTGGCTTAGGGGAGGGGGCGTGGCTTAGGAGAGGGGGGCGTGGCTTAGTGGAGGGGGCGTGGCTTGGGGGGTGGGGCTTGGTTTAGGGGAGGGGGCGTGGCTTAGGGGAGGGGGGCGTGGCTTAAGGCAGGGGGTGTGCCTTAGGGGAGGGGGCGTGGCTTAGGGGAGGGGGGCGTGGCTTAGGGGGTGGGGTTTGGCTTAGGGGAGGGGGGCGTGGCCTAGGAAAGGGGCGTGGCTTAGGGGAGGGGGCGTGGCTTATGGGGAGGGGGCGTGGCTTAGGGGAGGGGGAGTGGCTTAGGGGAGGGGCGTGGCTTAGGGGAGGGGGAGTGGCTTAGGGGAGGGGCGTGGCTTACGGGAGGGGGCGTGGCTTAGGGGAGGGGGCGTGGCTTAGGGCAGGGGGCGTGGCATAGGGGGTGGGGCTAGGTGATCGAGTGGAGGCGACCCACATTCGCTCGCTTCACTGCCGCTCTCAGCCGGCTCCGGCGTGTTTCTGTTTGTTCGTCTGTCCACTCCGAGGGTTTTCCCTCGCACGCCGACCCGAGGAGGACTGAGCGGGTGGCGGTGGACACCGGGCTGACGAGGAAGGCAAGAGAGGGGCAGCGAGAGGCGGCCTGCATACGCGCCCGGTAGACGGAGAGACACACACACTGTGTAGCAGAGAAGACGCGTGGTCTTGTAAGGTGATAAGACTCATTGCACGGAGGCCAGACGTCTGGGTAACGGCAAGAGGATATAGCAGAGGATATAGACACACAGGCACTGTATGTACGATAAGAGCGGGTGTCTAGGAAATATACATAAGACACACAGAGGCATGCACATTGCAGTGTATAGCCGAGACCTGACGTCTTGTAGGCAGACAGATGTTATATAACGCAGGGCGTATCTGTGGCATAGGCACATTCGTAGACATACTAATGGTATAATACACCATACGTCTGTGATATAGACACATTCACAGGCATACTAATTGCACAATACGCCATACACGTTAAGTAGACGAGGATGTACTAACTACCCCGAGTGTAATACAACGTGTGGGACAATAATTGACATCCGAGATTGTCTCGTCAATATATACAGCGTATGATGCCGATAGATTGTTGCACAGTGTGTCATATTTCAGTCGATAGGATATAGTAACATAGCCGGAGGGCACATTGGCCAAGGCTATTGACACACAGCGATCTGTATCAAGTCGTGTATAGAGGAAGCGCAGACGTCTAATATACAGTGCGCGGATATAATAATAACTGAGCAATAGTGAAGAGGCGTACACTACGAATAGTGACACGTTGCTTATATATAGACACGTAGTACTCTGTAGAACTTTCTATTGTAGTGACGGCGATTCCGTATTGGCATCATTAAGTGTAAGAGACACGTGCTAGCACTGACAGCACAGTAATATAGACTAGAAACAATCCATACAAACATATACAGCACATAGGGCCAATATCAGTTCGACCATAATTAAGTGTAAGAGACACGTGCTAGCACTGACAGCACAGTGATATAGACTAGAAACAATCCATACAAACATCATATACAGCACATAGGGCCAATATCAGTTCGACCATAAGCGCAAATCTAGGTGACACGTGCGTCTTTATAGTGAAGAAAGGGTAATATAGTTTGTGCACAGTCTGTGCGTGGAACATGCATTCTCTGGTACGAGCCTCCTCGTTCTTACGTCACAATGCCCCTTCCTGGCGGGGCGTGGCAGCGAAGAAGACCTGGCACGCGGTTCGAACTGGGATCCCTAATGAGTTGGGTAACCATCAGTATCACCAGTGCCTGCTGCAGCGACAGCGCGGAGGGCCTGCCCTGCTCCTCCTGGACCCTGTGACCAAACGTCGAGGCCCCCTCGATTCCACGGAGACGTGGACGCGGGGATCTAGACGGGCGCTGTACGGACAGTCAGATGGAGATGGAACGGAGGAGGCAGCAGCAGCAGCGGTGGCAACAACTTCAGGAGGAGGAGGCGATGATGGAGTTGCAGGAGAAGGAATGGCATCCAAGAGAACGGATGCGTGAGTATGGGAAGGGCGAGTGGCATCTGGTTGGCATCACCGTTGCTGTGGTCATCTTAAAAACTGCGTAAATGTCCTGTCCTTAGAAGTGATGACAACACCTAATGTGAACAGGAACAGTCACGTAGAAATTGCACGAAGGAAATGACAGCATCAGAAGGGGAGTCGGAGACGATCTTGACAAAGCTATTAGCAGCAACATGAACATGTGTTTTCTGATAATTGGAGAAATAAAGGGGTAAAAAGCGGAAAATATGAACAATCTCAGTTACTGGAAAATGAACTACGGGAAATGACCGAGAGGAAATAATTAAATAAATATTTTGCATATTGGCTCAAGATAAATATGCGCAAAACTAAAGTCGTGTTCGATAAACAAATAAAAAATCTGTCAGAGGGAAACAACTGGGGTATATTTTACGGCACTTATTTAAGGCGGACCAGGATACAAATCATAAAAGAAACAGGTGCCTACCATTGTTATAATTGTCCAGAGTACAAAGACATCAAGCAAGGGATGCCCAAGGCAGGGATAATTGGTGGGAGAGCCTTGCTGCTTGAGGAGGAGCAGGAGGATTTGCATGTAACATGCCAAAGACCATGGATGTGTGGGAGTGAAGAAGCTTTTAATGGCATGAGATCATCATGATGCAAGAGCAAAGGTATTGGATTAATTCCCACTGGAGGAGATAGAGAAGAAACGCTGCTAGGAAACACATCCAAACGATTTAGAGTTATGTGAGCATGGGAGAGCGATATATTCAGCATGTTTCTAAATGTGGAGGGAAAAACCAGAGGACTCGTAGTTAACATCTTACCACCGTGGAATTCGTAGAGTAATGAGCAATATTTACTTGCTCTTTAGGAGCATAGGTTGAGGATTGAGGCAGTGTTTTGGGAAGTGAGCTATGGTGGGTGGTTATGACTAAGTGAATATTTGCCCACCCTCATCGGTCATTGTACTTTTCTTTACCAAGTTTACATCATTACCCCCATTATTATCAACAGCAAACACGCACATTGTGCCTCTTCTAACATGGCCTAAAGTATAACCATGTTAAGCTGCATATAAAAATGAAAATATTGAAATATATAATTTCTAAAATATAATTTGCATGATGAAAAATGGCGGCCAACTTAATTTGCATTTTAAAACGATAAAGTTATTGAAAACGGGGTATTCATTTGTGTAGGTTAATGCAATTGCGCACCAGTTGAATGGGATGCCGGGCGTCGGCAAGTCTGGCCAGAGACCTTGTCTGAAATTGAGAGATGGATGCAGCACTGTATGCTTGAATACATGCAAATTGGCGAATGGTCTACATAAATCACACTCCAATCACGCGGTTTATGGCATAACGGGTGCACCATCAATAGATTGTTAGACTGTCCATTAATACTGACAAGTCGGGCTACGCTCACTGGCATAAAATAACATCCACATTTGTCTCACCAGGCATTTTTGCAAAACCCAGCGAGCGTGATTGCTGCTTTCCCAGAAACTACGTTAGCTTATGCCAGTATATGCTTCTTCTAAAGAAACTGAGCTAAAGTGTTGGCTATATAGGTCACTCAACAAGTGCAGCTCATGTACTGAAACGTTTATATTCATGCACATTAGCAAAAAAATACAGACTTGAAATATGTTATTATAAATGTGTGGTGGCCACAGTATTGGCAAAAAAGATCTTAATGGAATTTACTTTAAAATCACCAAAAGCAGATGAATCAGAATTAGTGCTCTGTTGACTATGTGCATTTAAAATTCAATGCAAAAAGTCAGTACAGAAAAAAAAGTCAGTATAGAAAAATCCATTATTGTACTGGACTTATATTTTCTCACATCTAACCTCCCCCCCATCTTCCCCTACGCGATATAGTCACCGTGGTGGGGGGAGGCCTAAATCCCACAGTGGTTTGGCAAAGGGCTGTGCAGGTACATTCACTATTTATGGCAGAATCCCATGCATTGGAGTTGGAGGGAGCTTGGTCTGTTTTCTGCCATGACTCATTTGGACCGTACAGTGGGCTGGTTTCCTGAGTGCTCTCATTCTTAGGCTCAATCTGTTGTTCATTTCCAATACTTGCCTCATTGCCTGCATAAAATAAATGCTCCTTATGAATTCAAAAGGACGCAGCGTCTCCTTTTTCAAACAAGCATCATTGGGAGGGTAGTCATCTTTGTTGGTAGCTGTGATGCAGAGGTGAAATTTCCACATTCCTATTGTGGAGGTCAGCCAGATTGACTGAGTAGGCCCCTGATTGAGTTTAAAATTTACAATCTTATGATTTATCCGCACTCAGGTCATTATACTCTTTAAATACTATAATAACGAAGTCGTTGATTTCTCAGAAGTCTTGAGTACCGGGATTAGCATATTTGTTTAGGAGTGTCTGCATTTCGCTGTTAGACAAGTTATGTAATGAGTGGATGTTTTGTATGTGTAAGCAAACTTGCTTACAAAGGAATACCACTCAAAAGCTGCACAGATGAGTCAGAAACCCATTTGCTTTATTTAATTCTCCTGTCACAGCCAGAAGGTTAGAAGTCTCAGTCTATGATGACATCTGCCTGAGCCACCAACATTTTAGCAAACTGCCTAATGACAGTTACACGTTGGCTTTCGCGATCAATATCATCCATAATAGAGTTTTTTTGGGTTATATCGCGTAAATATATAAATGTGTCGTTAAAACCCGTCACTACTCGACAGAGCCAATTAGAAAGGGTGGTCACGTAAACAGAACGTGCCAATTCGTCACTAGTACAGCACACCGGTGTGTTGGAGAGCCAAACCAGAAATATTTACAATCCGGGTACGAAGTTTTGCTAGTAATTACAACTAGCTTCATCAGGCAACAGCCAGATTTGTGGAGAAGTCTAACCGTTTCGTTCCTTATATAGAGGCGTTTATGTGGTGACCACGCTTCTGCGCATGGTCACCACATCTACGGAGTTTGCGTGATGGTTTATGCTCCTTTTTTATTAGCTCAGAAAGGTATTGTGATTCATTTATGGAAAACACGATGTGTGTAATGAGCGTGACTCTAATGTATTCGTACAAAAAATGAAAGCCAATGCAGCTCAGTGAGCAACCGATGGATATGGTCGGATCTTGCAGTACCTGTCACGACATGTGCCAAATAATGTTGTACAAGCTGTAGCTTGCTCATGTGTTTTTTCTAGACGTCCCGTAGAGTAGTGAGTTGCAATAATCGAGCCTTGTCGATATTATGCTACACGCCACCGTGTTGCCTATATCACATTTGAACCTTATGGCGGTACCATAGTACTCCGGCTCTCGCATCATGTCTGTGATGCAGTCATTTTCAGTCTGTTGATGGTCGGCGATGCGGCAATCGACTTATCTCGACGAGCTGTACACGATGCACTTTTCAAAGTAGAATTTTTCGATAACGGATGTTTTATGCTAATGTTTTGCGTTTCGACATCACGGAGTCGCACTGATTTCGGATTGATTGGTACCCCAGTCGCGGAGTTAAGTACACCCCTGGAAAAAAGTGTCCCAGAAATAAATTATTTAATTGCCTCGGCCATTTTATTATTTGGAACCCTGGGGTATCGCCATAAGGATCATATAGTGGCCAAATGTGTTGTAGAGCCCTGATATTAAAATTTCAGGACCTATCTATTTTGCACATGATGCTCAAACAACATTCAAGTCGATTATGGTGCCGAGCGTCATTACACGAGTCGAACACTGAATCCTGGAGTCTGCGACCACCACACCTGATCCACAAATGTTTCGCCTGTGCCCGAGTGCCAACCAGCAGAACCTACGATTTTCCTGGATTAAGCAGCATTTGGTTTTGGGCAAACTGCACGAGCACCGCTCATGTTCAATCTTCTATGTTACTGAAGCTCTCCATATCTCACTTTGAATTCACTGCAGTGTACAATTGTGCATCAGATTGATGTCATCTGGAGACAATGTATAGAATGAGCTTATTCTCGTCACACAATGAGAAACATTTCATTTAGCTAGACATAATCTGTTAATGAAAGGGACTATGATGAGTATTTCCATAGTGGTATTTCAATGTCTACTAATCATTGGACAAGTGTACTCTACTGTAGTATTACATAATTCGCACTGAAATGGAAATGTTCATCAACTAAGATTGACTCGTGAAATGTGCGTGTGTGTATGGGAAAGTATTTGAGAAATACACTGCACGTTTCATTCTGAAACCTGGAACAAGCACTTACACACATGTACAGTAATACGGTATATACATCACTGAAACCATTTAATATGCATACATACACATTTTCAGTTCCTTTTTTCTTCTCAAACATTCTAAAAATGCCTCCTGGCACCGAAATAGTCTTGGAAAATTAATATGTCATGCACCCTGCCTTGTGAGCGGTGCCAGAATGCTGGTTGCGGTGCTTTTTTAGCATATAGATGTCTTTCCAAAGGCATGTGTTGTCTTTAAATGGACACAAGAGAATAAATCAAAGTATCTGTCTCCCTGCTCCAGCAAGTGTAAGGTCGTTTTCTCCTCCCTCCATTGTTAGCTCTGAGACAGTGGTGATAATTCCAAATCCCCTTTTTTTCGAACCAACCATCGTTGACTTCATGGTGCTCATTTAATTGAGCTCAAAGAGATGAAAGGCTGAGTCAACATTAGGCTGGGATTTAAAAGTGAACCCTTCATTGAGTGAGTCAGGCATTCTAATCCCCAACACCATTCATACATTCCTACTGTTTACCTTGCATGCTGCTGTTCACTATATTTTTCAAAAATTTACTTAAGGCTATGCCATACAGTGGTTAGAATTATTTTATATATAAGTGTATAAGTTCACGTTAGAACGGATTATCATCAATTGGTAAAAGATCACTGCTAGACTTTTGTTGTCTTACCTGTTAGCACATTCAATGACTATTCACTACACATTTCAAGTCACGGTGGTTAGATCACTAACCACTGAGCTAGTTGAATCAAGCTGGTCCTGCTGGCGCCCATTAGTGTCACGGGGTATCAGTGGGCTACAGCAGTATAAAGTGGGTGTAATACAATCCTGTGACATCTTTTGCAATAGTTGATCATTGCCAATTCCGAAAATTGCCCATTGTTAATACGATCTATTCTCATGTATATCCTGTTTGGGAGCTGTAACATTTTGTTAGGTTTTTATGGTGCTAATCCAATCTCAGATAAATGAATAGTATTCGTCAAGTTTTTATCTATACTGTGGAGTTGGGTTTGTCTGGATTGTTGACCTTTTCACTTCCTGCGTGCTGTGGGTCTTTACAGCCCTACTAAAAGCGTGAACAAACTCGGGTAATTAAAGCATTGCAGTAAAACTCGCTCTTGCTTCGGTGCCGCAAGTGTTATCTAACATTTGCTCTGTGCTGTGTGGAAAGAAGTTAGTGAGTAGGATAATGTTGTGCTTCACTAGACAGTATGTGAGCAAGACGGTGAGCATTTCATGATAGTTTTCTACGTGCTTTGCCAAGAAATTGTACTGATTGCTGATGCTGACCAAACAGATGCATTAGTCATCGAGAAGTCAACGTGTCTCCATGCTCAAACAAGCATTGGGTGCCAGTACCGCCATACGACAACTGCTGTTGAATTCCAAAGTAGATTGTGCTCCATTTATTAAATCTCCAACTGGGAATTACGTTGTCAACCTTAAAATTGTAAGGTGCCATGGTGGCGAGATGTTAACTACCTCGCCTGGTACACAGAAGGTCATGGGTTTGACCTTGACTCTGACTCCTGTATATTTGGACTTTGCATATTCTCCCCGTGGTCGCGTGGATTTTTCTCCGGGTCCTCCAGTTTTTCCCTTCACATTTACAAACATGCGTTTAGAGGATTTGGCTGCTATAAATTTCCACAAGATAAACCACTTTGTTGAGCTATCATTTGTGCCCAGGTCGCTTCTGGAAAAAAAACCTATATTGGTCAGTGGGCCTTACCTGGTAAAACTAAAAGAATGAAACACGTTCCTTCGGAGTGGGCAGGTAGGAACTTGGTTGGACAGCGCATTCGTGCACGACAGAAAGCTCGTGGTCATGTGACGCACTTCAACCAATCCGGGAGCGTACATGTTTAGGAGGGGCTATGCACGACAGACAAATAATCCCTGGTGGGCAGTGTGGAACTGTTGTTCCTACCTGTATTAAGTATACCATTACCTAAATTGTCTATAGATTTCTCTGTCAGCCCTCTGTGTACTGTTATCGAAATCCATCTGCTAATGGTACATCACGATCACGTTACAAGGCTTGCAGACTGCAGGTGAAATATTGATGCTAAGTTTACATCGGTTTTTCTGGTGTACTTGTAGGACATCACCTTTTAATGGCTGTTTAGGGGTGTGCATAGCATCTGCAGTCAGTATTTTTGGTTTAAATATGGCAACCAAATACATTCATTCCACTTACATATTTATAATTTTTATGAATGCAATATGTGCCCCCTGACATGGGAATATGGATTTCCAATTTCCATCACTGGTTCAAGGCTGCCATCTGGGAAGAGAACCACCTCAATAATCACACATTTTATGCATTTACGTAACAAGAGGATGTGAAAGCATATGTGTGAAAAAGGAAAATAAGCAACTGATAAGAACAGACTGTGATAGCTTTTTTTTAGAATAGACTGTATTTGAACAAGTTTAAACATGTAATGTTTTATTCCATGACATGCAAAATGGTAAATTGTCCTGCAATTTCATTGGAATATTGCAGGAAATCAACACTGGATGAGATAATCCCATTAACGTGACACACAATCAATACACTGATGGCTCTATTTACGCACTAATTCTTTTTTATCCAAAGCCTCGCGGTTACATTATTTCTTTGTCCAGGATTCATCACAGGGCACAGGCATATGTAGCGAGGTTTTGTAGGCATTGCCTCTCTAAATGTTGAGGATCCGAGAAATGAAATGGCGGCTCGGACTGCAGCTTATTGCACGCCGTTGCAAAGCAGGGCTTCCCATGATGCCTTCCCCATCCCCCGCCCTTGAACGGGTCTACGTGTTGGGAGGCAATTGATGTGATCAATGTTCCTCAACTTAATTTGCATTATTGATGGTGTCTGAGGTCTGAGGTCTCTGAAGGCCTGGAATAAGGTGTTATATCCTCAGCAGTCATTGCTGCTGTAAAACAATATCAAAAAGTCAAGAGGCTCTATTCTCTTATTGGAAAATGTTAGTTTTGTTTTTATTACATGCGTCATTGTCTCTCGTAATAATATGAATCTGGCCTCAAGTGTCTGCCTGCACAGAGAAACATTGGGAATTCATCTCTGTGAGTACTGAGGCAGCTGTGGACATTACACATTCTCATGGCAAGGGGGACTACCCTCTACGCATCATGACTGCTGTTGAATTACTACAAAGTTACTACTACTCATGATGGACTAAGATTTATACTTGCGTCCTTTTGGTTGTGAGTCAAACATTCTGCCTACTGTGCCACCTTGCCAGATTAAACTAGCTATGCCAAATGAAGTTTCATATGTGGGCATTGAGTGCCTCTACCGTGTGTTGTGCGTCTGATGACACGTGTGTGTTTGTGTGTGGGGGTTTGTGCATGCAGAGAGAAGATGAGGCCCCTGCCCCGCCTTGAAGACCTGCTGTTTGATGCCATCGCCGAGGGTCAGGACAAGATCCCTGTTGTCAAATTTATAACTGTGAGTGATCACCACCCCATGCCTATGTCTTTTACCTCATTTTTTAAAATTAATTATGGTTTAGTGTGCCCAGGGGGCTGATAAAATCAATATTTTGGGTGAAATGCTTGTAAAAAAACCATCGGCTACAAAAAATAACCCCAACAAAAACAGTGTGAATAAATAAAATAGTGTGTTATTATTTTACAAAAATCTTGTCATAAACAGAATTTATATTTCGTAAATATCATGACCCCTACTGAAGGGACATCAGTACTCATGCGTCTATGGTTGATATCTTGAAACACGGGGTATGCTATAAAACACATGGAATTCATTATATTACTGCTTGGTGTGGTTTTGTACCAAGATAGAACTTTTAACAAAATTTTACCAGGCATGCACGTTACCTCACCACTCTTGATAGCATGCGCACTGTTAGTGAAACATGGCTGTATGAAAGCATTACAGATTATGTTCTGTATTTAATTATTACTTTATACAATTATGTTAATCATTCACCATTTTCTATTGACTGTAAATTTGCTGCATTAAAAAAAAGTGGAATTATTTACATATAGAATGCACAAGGAAAGATGTCTAAGCCAGCTTTAATGGTCTCGTATAACTAATGAACGGTGTCATTTATAAATTAACGAAATATTCAGTTTCTACTGAAACGGTGCTATCGGAGGAGCACTTGCCTCATTATCAGAAGATTTTGAGTTCAAATTCTGGTTTGGGATGAATGCAGCTTCATAGAACCTAATACCAATATGAAGAGTTCACCTGTGTGTGTTCTCCTGTTTGTCATCAGGCCTTAAAAGCGACCGGACTGCGCACCTCAGACCCCCGTCTCAAGGATTCGATGGATGCCCTGCGCAAGACGGTGCAGACAGCAGCTGACGGAGTCGTCCTGGACAAAATGCTCTTCCGCAAGTAAGTGATGCAATGTTACATGGCTTTGGGTGACTTTGGCCCGTATTATGTAATGTCTTGACTTAAAGCTTTCGTGACTGCAGGAATTCATGTTCTTTGGGTCTTTCGGTAAAGTCACGTAGATGGTTCAAAGAAAATAACAAAAAACGACGACGTTTCGATCACAACACAAGCATTTGTCATCGGGAGGAATGACGATCGAAACGTCGTAGTTTTTTGTTATTTTCTTTTAACCATCTACGTGACTTTACCGAAAGACCCAAAGAATAGTATGTAATGTGTTTTGATTTTTTATCAGTGTGGCTTCGAGAAAGGGTAGTGCATAATGCTTCCCGATAATGTAAACGCAAAACATTTTGAATATCTCAATTAAAAGCAGTCGTTTTGTTTTAATAGATTCGTACATCTCGGAGTCCTGTACATTCAATTTTACTGCATTAAATAGGATATTTTTACTACACCATTGACTTTTCTTTGGTTATTTTGGCGAATTATTAATTTAGCTATCACCTATTATCCAGATATCACAGGTGATAAAAATGGGTCAATTAGGAGTGATTCATGGTATTGGAGACAGTGCAGCTCGCCTAATTATGTGTGGCTCATTAGCCATTATGGTGAACTGTGTGTTCATGTACTTTTATCACAAGCTTTTTCTCCTCGTTTTAATTGGCTTAAAGAGCCAATGCTGTTGCATACTGATGCATGTGTTGTTACACTGTGCTGCACAGTATCTGACCCCAAGTCTCAGTGTCATGAGCAGTCTGTGTTCAGGCACTCTCTCTGCCTTTCCTATGAAAAATTTAACATTTAATTTGGTGCATTGCCACACATGGTATATTGGAAAAAAAATAATGGGGGGTGGGGTGCTGTACACCACCAGTGAAAACTAATAAAGTAAGGTGATCTTTATAAACCGATGAAAAATCAATATTAAATATTTTAATTGAACACTTTTCAGCTCCTCCTGACGCGGTTTTCTGACTTGACCACCGGAATGCAAAATTTTAGTTGTTGCTCTGCATCTACATCAGCCATACGAAACAAGAAGAAGAATTGAACACTTTCATGGACGTTAACTTTTTAATACATTTGTCCGTTAATATGGTAAGTCTTTAATAACATAACTGTGATATTGAAGTTCTGTTCATATTCATTTACCTGGGTGAACGTTATCATGCCCTCCCTCCACCACCCCCCAATGTAGATGGACAGAGCTAATGCAACCTTAGTTGTGTAGTGAGTCCAACTGAGTCGCAGACGTTATTCTTTAGAGGCAACACATTTATTGTAACACGTATATACAAAGGGGTAACTACCCCTTTACCAGATACAGCCTGGGGTGGTGACCACCCAGCTAACTACACTATACGTGTAGGGGTGTTAGAGAGAGAGCCGTTATGCATGGCAGCTTATGGGAAACAAACACAGTGGGCGGGGCTACGTGAGTGTACAGGGGGGTGCTCTCAACGACGTCCGCACCGGGCAGCCCGGGGCCCCACCCCTCAGCGGGGGTTGAGTATAAAAGGGGATGTGTCAGAGGGCTCGGGGAAAAATGTTAAGCTAACGAGAAGACTGAAGACATCTTAGCTAGAGCCCTGGACTCCCCTAGTTCGACGTCCTTATCAGGGCCGAACAGGATCAAGCCAGCGGCGTGGTTCCGAGAGCCAGAGCCGGTGCTCTTGTCAGAGCAGGTCTGGGACTCCGGGTACCGGGCCCGACTTACCAGTGTCGGGCCAGATAGCCTCCCCTAGCCCGTTAGTGGAGGACTAAGAGGCAGGCTAGGGTAGCTAGCGTGTGTATTCCCAGCTAGCCGGGTGAGGGGGCCGATACCCCCTCGAGTGGTATATGCCCACTGTTGTGCTGTGAAATAAACCCGTGTGCCTCCAACTCCGGCGTCAAGAGTCGTCAACGGTATTGCATACGTAAGAGTTACAGCTACGAAGGGTCGGACCCTCACTCGGGTCCTGGCCACATGTTGATGCCTTGTAGGACGTAGGACGTAGAGCTTCCAGCTTGTAGGACGTGGAGCTTCCAGCTTGTAGGACGTGGAGCTTCTAGCTTGTAGGACGTGGAGCTTCTAGCTTGTAGAACGAAGAGACCCCGGTCCCTCTCAGGGACCCACCTTATATCCTCCCGGGTCGGGGCCGGCTCCGCCCTCTGCCCCGCCCGCCTTCTCGAGCGTTCTAGCTCTCTCTCGATCCCTCTCGAGAGCTCTCCCCGGACACGTGATCGCCCCCGAGTTCCCCCACCTGGGCGCTTCTCTGTGGACACTCCAGATCACGTGTCTACGGGGTCAACCAGAGTGCCATGGCCCGGGGCAACCCTGTCCCTGGGCTTGACACTCTCCCGCTTCCCCTTGTGGGAGCCCGCACTCCGCGCTATGCGTGGTGCCCGCGCTATCCCAGCGCTCACCAAGCCCCGCTAGGGCTGGTACTACACCCACCTACGGGGTGTACGCAATAACTGTGCATCGCACGCCGTGCTGTGCTAGAGCCGGCCTCACACAGCAACCCACACGGTGTTGTCCGTGACGTAAGGACATCGCACGCCACGGCCCTCCCGAGCCTGCACCATATAGTGACATCCGCGATGTCACTACAGTTGGAAAACGTTAAGAGGCAGCATGACTGAAAGACTCCTCTTGATGTTGACTGAGAGAAGGAAGCCTGATTTTTAAACCGCTTTCCGCATTACAAAGGTGTCTCTGTGTCCTTCCCCTGTGATGCATACACTTCATTTGCATAAAATTTGTTTAAATTCAAAATAAGGGGTGACATTCCAAAATGCTTTGTACATTACCTTTCATATGGTTAAGTTTTCGCCCGGCTCGTATGACTGTTGTGTATGCTCAACCTTATTCGTGGCTCAATGAAAGCGGTAAATTTGCCCATTTCTATCACACAAGCCAGTTTCTCTTAAGGACAACCACTGGTCTGTTCAGAAACCATCTTAAAGACTCGGTGGCTTACACATGTGTGATTGCGCACACCTGCAATTCAGAACTTGAGAGGCAAATGTTGATGGATCACATAGATATGTCTAATCTTCAAACCTGCTAGGCTTTGAGGTGATCAGGGGATGGTCGTATTCATGGGATTTTACAGATTAATCCCATTTTCTCCTACATGCCTATCCTTACTTTAAAAATGGGATGAGTGAAATATATCCGTGCAGGGTTTTTAAAGAGATATTTGAGATTCAGTGAGGATTTCCTTGATAAACGAATGCATATTTAATGTATTTATTATTTATTTGAGTTATATGCCGTCCTAGAATGCCCTTGATTGTGCATTCTGTCCAGTGTGCATTTCATCCATGATTTATTCACTGTTCTCAGAGGCACGACGATGCATTTCATGTGCATCCCCAAACAGAGCATTAACGTTGTTGCTATACTTATCCTCCTTGCAGGTGGTATTTAAGGTCATCTTATGGTCCATGTGAATGTGTTTGTGCTGTTGCACAGAAAAACATAGTAAATAACTCCCAAGCAATAAAAACAAGTTAGATAGGATATTAGACTGTCTGTTGTTCATGCTGGGTGTTTTGGATATCACACAATACACCTGTAAGCAGCCTGTGAAATTTCAGTAGCTGTTAACATTTCTAGAAAGTGTAAATACCCTGAACGGATATGTAGCAATCAGTTAGTGTTGGTTCAAGCTGGTCAGCACTGCTACAGTGTAGGCACTCCTGATTGCTTTATGACCTCATGCATATTAAGCCTCTGAAGTCGACTTGGCCTGCATTCCAACCGGTTGCAGGATGGGTGGGGCTGCTGTGCCATTATGCAAGAAGAGGGCTCTGTTTTGTTATGTTCTTTGCCTATGAAGACCTGGTACTGCATTGAGGAAGCCACCTAAACCACCGTGTTTTATCATCCTACGAAGGAGCTGTTTCCTGCCTCAACATCATACGCAGCCCATGCACAGTTGCATGCGCCTTAGCTACTTAGTGGTTTCTTGGAATACATAGTTAATCACATTATAGATTTTTCGATTTAAAGCTTTCGTGACTGCAGGGATTCATATTCTTGGTTCTTTCGGTAAAGTCACGTAGAAGGGAAATATAGTTTTATTTTTTATTCTGTTATTATTTCCCTTCCAGATTATAGATGTTAAGCTCACATTGCACAGCTGAGGTTGTGTTACTTTTCAGCTGAAAGAAATGACGTGTCTTATGAACTTGTCCCCACTTTAGCAATGTGGTCTAATTTTCATAAACTTGGGTGGTTGACAAATAGTGCTCCAAACAGTGAATAGTGTAGTCTGGGAACCATGGACCAAATTATATTCTTTGGTATCAATATGATAATTGGTTAATGTTGGCACAAGCATAGTCTTGAGACATTGAGATGTTTTCGTGAGCACCTCAAGGCTTTTCTGAAAGTGAACTGCTTAAGCATTCATAGGACATATGTACTGGCTACCGTGTTCCTCATGGAAAACCATTCAAAAGCCTGTAACAAAATAACCGTCTTAGCATGAAACAACAGCAATACGTAAAGCTGCGAAAGGACTACACTTGTTTCAACATTCCATTGTTTTTGGAAGCAATGATTTCTTGTTGTATTGTTCAAATGAGCTTCGAGGCAGTGTTGTTTACAGCCCTGAGCCATTGATCAAAATTTCGCATTCCTGTAGCAGGGGTCAGGTCTCCATTGGCTGACCACTTTTGACTTCCCCTCAAAGTATTTTATCGACAATGGAGTAATGATTCTCTGAGTCAATCGCCAACCAGTATTTGAACTTACAACCTGCCAATTGCAAGTTGTTCGCTGTACTGCAGAGCCACCTGTTTTCGAGTGACTTCAGATATTTATTGTCCAAGCAGCCAGAATTATAGTTTCCCTTGCTTTAGAATAACCTATTCTGACATGTAAAAAAGTATGCATATTTGTCTTATGCCCTTCATCAGAAGTTAAATGGTCCAAGCAGCTTGCATCAACTGTTGGCAATTATGTGCAGAGATTACATATAAATGAGTCATTATAATTGTGCCAAATCTTACTATGTGCAACTTACTCAGTCACTGAAATCGTAATTTGTAGTCATAATTGTCATGCATATTCAGTAGTTTGTCTTTAACAAGAGGTGGGACAGAATGATTAAATCAGGACACCCATGGGAGTGGCTAGAATGACTCCCCTTAATGATTTGTAGTCTGAATATGCTCCCGATTTTCAGATTAATAAAACAAATTGGAAAATCAGACCTAGATTTGAAATTTCAGACATTCTGAAATGTTTTCTTCACATTGATCCAAAACCGAAAGTGGCATTTTTATGACGTCACTTTTTAGTTTTTTATTCAATGTTATTGTTAGCACGAATACGTTTCCATTCGTATATATAATGGAAATTATTAGAAAATCAGAAAAATATCAGAAATTATCCATAACAATCTGAAATTCATCTGTAAATTGGTATATAATATAAATTACATTTGTAAAATACAAAATACATAATTTTCACTAGTTTATGTTTTGGTCAGCCTCTATATTGCTGAGTAAATGGGTCATATTAAAATATCCCCATATCATGAATATTCGCATACTGAGCTACCATTGCCTGCTGGAACATTAATTGGTTACCTGTCAAATTAAGGCATGATCTATGGTAGTATCAGAGTGCAAACACAGAGGACTTAAATGACACCAGTAGGGTGAAAAAAAACCCATGCAACTAATTTATTACTCTGCCTGCTGGGGCTTTAGTTGGATTGGAGATACTATTTATGGCCGGTAATGCTCGTTAATCGCGTATTGCGACAGACTGGATGGGGGTGACCAATTGCTGCAATCTGTCATGCATTCCGAGGTGTAGCCGGTGTTTTCCCAGAGACAAAAGTGTCTGTGGCTGCCTCCAGAGGTTATTTATCGTTGGCCAGACCCAGTCATAATTCAGCATGTCAATGTCAAGAACCATGAAGCAAGTTAAATAAAAATGTAAAGAGTCGGAAGCTGAAAGATAATGCCTTTGTAATACTGGCTACTGTAGGGTATGTACTTGTATTAGAAGTAGGCATATAACAATGCTGATTCACTTATTGAAATGTATTCTTATGCTTTCGATAAATTGAGCAATAATTTACTTTACCATTTGTTTCAATTATGTGCTTGTGATACATCAGGCTAATGGAGAGAACAAAACTTGACAAATAAGATGTAAAACAATCCCCCTAAAAATCCCAAAAAACGATTCCTAACAAGACCATAAAAATTGTATTAAAATATAAAATATATGATTCTTACAGTTAATAGTGACCTCAAATTGCCACTTTTCAACACAACTTTTCAGAGGTTAATTGTTACATAACTAATTGTAAATATGCCATGTTTGGTGCATTCGGTTTAACCACATCTGTTATTCATTTGTTTAAGTTGTAAAATAATGGCTGGTTTTTATTTAGACTCATTGTGGATTTGGCCAAATAAACTGTGCCCTGGTTATGTGGCAATAAAGCCCTTCCCTCTGCATCTAGCTGTGCTCTGGTGCCGAGGTATGTAAGAGCAAATGTACGTTTTCAGATTTAGTAAAACAAACAAATACAAAAAATATTAAGGGTTGATTTTGTTTTGTTTTCAAATCAACTATATTTTAAAAGTAAAAGGTTTACATTGCAAATTGTACGTTAAAATTGCACATCATGTCGCAATATGTGTCCATTAGCAAATTTATCTTGTGGGCACATTATTCCACTTGGTTATAACAGTGCGCACATAAAGAAGATATTGCAAATACATTTGAGACCATGTGACTATCAAGCTTGGTTTTATTGAACCACATTTTTCTGTTGAAGTCTTGTTTTTTAAAATTCAAATCTTTATAAGAACATGTCCAAATGTGTATAAAAAATAATTGAACACAAATCCCTCAAGTGTGCTTTCAATAGCATTAAGAAAAAAACTTGGGATTGTGAATTCTTTTTTGTGAATGAGGAAGTGGTGTAATGTGACTTAAGCTGACATGATTTGATATAGCAGGGTTCATCCTCATTGCCTAGACCATAACATTATTTTTCTAATGCTTTTTCTCGCCCTGCTTTCATTCCCCAGGAATCTATTCGTGCTGTGCCAGACCGTTGCACCTTTTGTATCACATCTTCTTTTATCATAATAGCCCCCAGATCATATATGCATTGTGGAAATAAGCCCATGCAGGCCCACCGTGCATTGTCGTCTGGGATTACAGTACCAGCCTTCACTTGGATACATTTTCAGGCAATTGACCCTGACGTTGACCTGGCCGCTCTTCTGCATATGCCTGCTGCAGGTGCATGGGCAGTAACATCGTGCTGCTGACGCAGGCGTTCCGACGCAAGTTCGTCATCCCTGACTTTGAGAACTTCACGGCGCAGATGGACCGCATCCACGAGAACGCCCGGGGCCTCACCTGGGGGAAGGTGAGCAGTGTGCATGAGTCTGGCATCATCATCGACACGATCAATCAATTGCTTGCTACATGTATACAAATATCTAAACTCAACTAAGGTCCTCTGAGCTATATAGCTCTTTTTCAGAAGTGACCTAGGCCAGAATGGTAGCTCAAGGAAGTGTCTTATCACGTGTTGAAATGTATAGTAGTCAAATACTATAAACGCATGTTTTTAAATACGGAGGGAAAAACCGCAAAACCTGGAGAAAAATCCATGCGGCCAATGGGCAGAACATGCAAGCTCCAAATATGCAGGAGTCTGGATTGTGATCAGGATCGAGCCAACGACTTCCTGTATACCAGGCGAGGCAGTTAACATCTTGCCATTGTGGCACTCCTTGGATATCCGTGGACATCCATTGACTCATCCGTGTATTGGAATCTCAATGTTAGTTCCTGGTGAATTGTATTTGATTGTTTTGCTTGTCCATGACTAGGTGGCTGACTACATCCCTCAGCTGGCCAAGTTCAGCCCTGACCTGTGGGGGGTCTCCATGTGTACAGTTGATGGGCAGAGGTGGGTGCATGTGCTCCTATACCTGTCCTGTTAGTTAAAAAGCATCTAAATATCTGAGTGTCATTCATTGCTTCAGATGTTATGTTATTGCCATGACAATATAGACTATTTGACACACCAATAATATAATTGAAGTGTGCTTATTTAAATTGATGGTTTTGTTATAATCTTCTAAATATACAACCTGGTTCATGGTAAAAAAGACGTGAATGTATGAAATTTAATTCCATTATTTCAGCTTCTAGAAGCAGCTTCACTGTTGACGTTAGCACATTGGCTCTGCATTGTGTATTATATTGATGGACTGAGACATTAGAAATGGTATCATGCTGAGTGGACTTCTTGATGCAAGTGTAATGTAGCACTTGGAGACGGTGTTGTCCAGGTATGTATATATATTGTCTGTTCCCGCAGCTTCAATTATTATTTACGACCACTTAGGTCCCGTGCTGTCCTTACGTGATCCTGTCTGTTCCCGTGGCTTCAACCATGAATTACGCCACTAGACTCCGTGCTGTCTTTCTACAAGTACTGAGTCTGCAGTGTGCATTGCCAGATGCTGACTGTGCACTTCACATTGCTCACAATTAGCATAGGACATGGATCCTCCTGGGGAAATTATGTCTTTTATACCTACAAAATTATAATGGCCTCAAGCTCACTCAAAATAATACGTCGTGTCATAAGATATGGGTCTTAGTTTGAGAGAAAATTCTATTCTACATAACTTAAAATAATCAGCATAATTGTGGAGAATATAAATGATAATAGATAAGTGTAACCACGCCGAGATGGAATATCGGTGTTGTGTGTGTGTGTGTCAGGTGCATTTGTACTCGTATGTATGTGTGGATTTGCATTCGTATATGTGTGTCCTGTGTATGGGGTTTTGAGTCCATTTGTGTCTGTGTCTCCTAATTTAAAAGTACTTTCCTCAACAGTTTTTAATGCTAAAGAGACTGTATTTGTTTTTGTTGTTGTGCATGTATGTGTGCCTGTTTGTGTTTGTGCATTGCACTTGTGTGTGTGTGTGTGAGTAAACACACAAGTGCAAATGCACATGTGTGTATACACACACGTATATCTGGCTGTGATCTCAGTCATTTCACCCATAATACCTAGGCCAGGCTTGTGACCTGCGAGCGAGCAACGCTTCACCTCGGCCTTAAGCGCCGTGGTGACTGTCAGTGGCGAGTGTCGGTATACGTGTGGGCGTACGTTTGTTTACGCCTGCTCCTGCACGCATGTGTTCTGCAGGCATTCGATAGGTGACACCAAGATTCCGTTCTGCCTGCAGTCGTGTGTGAAGCCGCTCAAGTATTCGGTGGCCGTCAACGAGCTGGGCACGCAACACGTGCACCGCTATGTGGGCAAGGAGCCCAGTGGCCTACGCTTCAACACGCTCTCTCTCAACGAGGAGAGTACGTCGCTTACACGCGCGGACATGCCCCCCCACCGCTCGCATGTCCACATGCCCCACATTCCAGTTGCCTCGGCTCGCTTTGGGACTGTGTTTTGCACTGGGTTCTGGGGAAGGTCCATGCACATATAGCAATTGTGTAGGTTCATTCCCCTGTTATATCAAGGACAGAACTACTGTGTACATATTTACTTATGAATATTTGTTTATACACGTATACAGTCGTGTAAATAAATGGCACTAACGTGAATTTATCAACCGAATAACTGTTGCCCAGACCGATAGAGAGCCTGTAGCCTGATTAGCCTAATACAGGTGTTGGTGAGGTTTTTGACTCAATTCATTATTGGTTAATAACTAGGTTTGTAGCCACATGGAAATACCGTTTGTCTTGCTACATCCTCGCCGCTTGTGGAATTTGCTATAAAAACAGGAAAGGCCTTTCCACTGGCTGCACATGCGGAGGATTACAGCATTGTAAAGTTTTTAGTGGGCTTGGCTGCAGCTGTGAGAGCCAATGTGCCCTGGCTGCCCCATAACCCCAGTGACCCCTGCTTTTCCACATGCCACATTATTTCAGACAGAGCGATATATTAAGAGCTTAACGTGACTTTCATGTTCCATGTTTGGTGTGTACAACCTATTTTGAGGCCGGCTGGAAAGTTGAACTTGGTTTTAATATTATATTTGTTTGCTTTTTTCTCAAAATCATGTTTTGTTAATTCACTCACTATCATGTGACGGGAAGAAGAAATTTCCATTTAGAAGTGTCATTCCTAGCATTGTCAACAATGTCTTCAGAAGTTGATATCACTCCAACAAACTACTTCATCCACACCCAGATACCTTTTATATGCTTTGCGAAGAATGTTCATTTATTTTAATTGGAATAAGGCAAATTCATTGAAACAAATAAGTATAGTATGAAATTTTACTGGTAGGAACCTCCTGGTTACACCAGCCCACAGGGGATTATTGTGTCCGTCGTGCAGGGAGGGGCTGGGTGGGGAGGGAGGGGCTAGGTGGGGAGGGTGGGGAGGGGCTGGGTAGGGAGGGTGGCGCTGGGTGGGGAGGGGAGGGTGGGGAGGGGCTGGTTGGAGAGGGTGGGGCTGGGTGGGGAGGGGCTGGTCACCCCGTGGTGCCCTTATAAAACTCAACGTTTAACCTACTCACGCCGGCTTGTGCCCGCCCTCACAGTCGGGCATATTTGCGGAATACACCACGCCGCCGTTGACCCTGGCCATTGACCGAGCAACCCAACGTTCCTACCAGCTCCCTCCGCAGGAATGTGTTTTTGTGCACTCATTGGTCACCAGTGTAACACCATAAAATCGAAACGAGCATCTCAGCAGTGTTGACCCAGTGCTCTGAACAACCTGGCCATCTGTAGAACGTTGAACTCTTTTTTTGTAGTAAACTCGTACTTTGATAACAGTTTTAACATCCTCTGTCTGCAAGCATGAACACATTTTATGTCAGTGACGTTTTCGGATTCATTGAGATTAGATGCTCAGACTGGCCAGAGAGCGTTGAAAATTATTTTTTAGAAGATGGGAAAGTGTTATGTTGATAGCCATGAGCTGGCTTAAACTTGAATATTGTTGGAAAAGGGAATTTGTGGTGGCAAGCTCGGGGATTAAACAACGTTGGTTAAAGTGGCATAGCTGGAAGAGCCTCGCAAGCAGCTGAGAACATAAGTTGCACTTCTGCAAGGTGGAGACAAATTGGACAGTGTGAAATTTGATGATCAATGGGATCAATTATTCCTGATAGCGGCAATGACATTTCAGTTTAATGGTGAAAAATAGTCCACTGGTGATCATTTAACTTCGAGAGCAATCTTATCATTTTTTTCCCAAGCGGTAGAGTACACGAGAAGCTTAATAACCTTTTGGATGTTTCCGTTTGTTGTTCATGGCATTTATCCTATAGTATATAACAATATCTGGGTGGATTTCTATAGCGTTATTATTACGACGAGTGGAAGTATGGTATTTTATCAACACATTATTAGGAATTCATTTTCGTTTGACAGAACAATATTTTGTTATAATGGTAACGTAATTTATAATGCCTTGGCGCTCATTATACACAGTTTTTGCCACAAATGAACCACAACAGACACGCTTTCGCGACCAATATCATGCATAATAGAGGTTTTTTTTGGTTAGATCGCGTAAATATATAAATATGTCGTTTAAACCCACCACCACCCGACACAGCCAACTAGTAGTAAGCGTTGTCACGTATTTTATATCTACGTGACTTTACCGACAGAACCAAAGAGTATGGATTCCTGCAGTCAGGAAAGCTTTAAATCAAGATAGAACGTGCCAATTCGTCACTAGTACAGCACACCAGTATGTTGGAGAGCCAAGCCACCGGTGTGTTGTAGTAGTGACGAATTGGCCACCTTCTGTTTACGTGACAACCCTTACTAGTTGGCTGTGTCGGGTGGTGGCGGGTTTTAACGATATTTATATATTTACGCGATCTAACCCAAAAAAACCTCTTATGAACCACAATACCTTTCTGATCTCATCAAGGAGCATATACAATCACGCCAGTCATCCTCACAGCGGCTTTTGGCTAGCTATCGAACAAAGACTGCACCGGGTGCTTTCATATGCGCTTTTGCGGTCGTCTGGAACGCTCTTCTTTCCGATATTAGGAAGCCACTGGAGCTATGCACTTTTACATCTAGATTGAAAACTAATTTCTGTAGAACTGCTTTTGTGTTTAGTTTCTTGTCCTTCCTGCACAACTCCTATTAGCACAGTTGATTATGTATAGTGGGGAAGAATTTCAACATGCGTACAGTCCATAATCAACGTTTTTGGGTTTAGATCACGTTATTTATAAATATGTCGTAACCCTCCACCACCCGACACGGCCAATCAGTAAAAAAGTGTCACGTTGACAAAGGACAAATAGTTCACTGCTTTAGCCCACCGGTGTGTTGAAGCGTGAAACCACAACATTTACAATTTGAGTACGACGTTTCGCTGGTAATTGCATCCAGCATCATCGGGCAATTCGCCAGAATGGTGAGGCTCTGCTCTGTCTCCCGTTCTTATATAATACAGTAATGATGGCCTCCTATTGCTGTGGCTTACATGGGGGGTTGTTGGATCATATTTTACGACGCTGGTTAATGGAGATTGGTGAAGGGGTGTGCCAGGACCCAGTTCAGGTATCGTTTGCCACTGATGTTAGCTATGGCCAGGAATCAAACTCGGGTAACCAGGTTTCATAGTGGTCAGCCACAGATAACTACATTTAAAATTTGACTTTTAATCACTGCTAGGATTCATTGCAACATTTTTAAATATTTCTTGAGAAATGTAGATTGCATGAACAGAAAGAATCCCGTTTCTCGAAAGCTCATATACACACTTAACCATTAAATACCATACTAAAAAATATGATCAACAATTAAATGTTCACAATAAGCTTAGTATCTTTCACCGAGATCCTTCGTGCATTGAGTCATGCAATGGGATACTGCATCTGCAAGGTGTGACATTTTACCGGCTCACAGAGGTTATGTATGTTGTTCCCAGCATGCTAACCGAACACATTATGTTCATGTATGTGCCTTGTTAGCCGCGATGCCACAATAACCCAAGGCTATGCAGAGTATGTGCATGAAAGAGATAGTTTCCTAGTGCTCACATTTCTGATAAGCACACTGCACTAAAATCAAGGCAAATAAAGTTTGATTCCTGGCCATTTACAATATAATTGACATTGATTCTGACCCTGTCCTTGGACTGCCCTCGACTGGATCAGCCTATGCATGTAATGAGTACCTAGTGTGATACTGAACATAATTAAAGAGACAGATGGCCAGGCATGGTGATTGCAATACAGTCGCCTCTTGTGGCGTGCCAATGTGAATAGGTGCTCGCTAATGGACCTGAATTCAACAGTCACCATGACGCTTATGTCACCAGAGAATTCTTGCATAAACGGGGTGAGTGGAATGTGTGGGTGTCCTTGTTTGCTTGCTCCCATGCGTGGGTACTGCAATAAAACATGACCTTCAGCAATGACCTTCATTGATATGCAGGCAGCGGTACACGATGGCATTCATTGCTATGATTGTCACCTTTTCAAATTTTTTTTTTATTGAACACATGAACCATTAATTGTCGGACTAAAACAGATTAGATTATTGACGAAAGATAAATGTCCATGTTTTTCATAAAATCAATACAAAAATACCATTTGAAATGCACAATTCCCAAAGTTCTCAATGCAAACTGTGGCTGATGTTTGTCTCTCACTCTGGCAGACAAACCCCACAACCCCATGGTGAATGCTGGCGCCATCGTCATCACGTCCCTCATCAAGGTGAGTTCTTGAGTGTACTTGCTTTCCAGCAGCCTGACCCGATCGCTCGTTGCTCGGCAACAGTGCCGCGCCGAACCCGCCGTTGCTCAGCAACCGTTCCCAGGGGGCACACAGTGCTGCTTGGCTTGCTCGGGGATCCTTCGATCTGGCGGTGGTGAGAGGGTGCCTGGGGATGTGCATGCTGTTGCCGCAAACCGTGACGTGGGCTGATTTTTAATTCACTTGCAAATGTTTGCAGGAGTGGTGTTGGCTGGATTTGTGCTTGTGCGTTCGTTGGTCACGAGTGGTAGTTTAGCGTTAAGAACCCAGTAACCTGGGTTCGATTCCTGCTCACGGCCAATACTAGTGACGATTATTCGTGCCGGTCCTCGGCCTCCGGTAGGCCGACGCATCCTCAAATTAGTACCTGGTGCAAATGTGTAAACATCGGCACTGCACTTGTGTCCTGTGCCGGCCTTCATAGGTGCTCGCTAACAGCACTTTGTTGATTTCTGTGCGTGGCCCGTGGCTCATGTGAGAGCGTGTGTCTGTGCCACGAGAGCGCCTGCGCGTGTTGTCTATTGCTGTGCCTGCTTGGTTCACGAGGCAGATGAAATCGCTTGTTACACCGAGAATCGTCTGTAAGTATTGACTGTGCAGTGACTGTGCAGTGACTGGGTCAAATGGAATGTGATTTAATGAGCTTGCTGATCACATGTTCACGCGTGTGTGTCAGGGAGACTTTAGCTGTGATGGTTGGGTTACCCAGAATACTGTGCCCCCATTGGGTAGGGAGGCATAGAGCACAATAAAATGGACATCTTTGACGTTGACCCAGAGAATCGGTTCTTCTGTCTTAAGATGCTGAGACAGCTGCTGCCCGATGTCCATAGCCATTGAGGATACATGCATCCACTTGCATCTGTTGTGTTGAATGGGCTTTTTTCAGAGGTCGTGGTAACATTATTAGACATCAGCAACACAGCAAAAATGAAATGTTTGCAGATGTAGAAACAAATTTACATAATATTAGCAGGAAGTACCCGGCGTTGCCCGGGTCTTAAAAATATTTCAAAATAACTCTTAAATATGTAACAGCAGTGCATACTGACTGTGGTGGTACCTGCTATGATTACAGCAGTGCATCCTATGGTGGTACAGTAATCCCTCGCCACTTCGCGGTTCAAGTTTCGCGGCCTCAGTGCATCGCGGATTTTTCAAAAATATTCATCGAAAAATAAAAAAATACCGCCATATCGGCAGCCGTATTGCGGAAAGCAGCGTTATTTCATCGTGATGCGCGAGAGAAACGGTTTCCCAGGATGCCAGACAAAGAGAGAAACTCTCTCAGAGGCTTTGTACATACTGTACCCACGGGCACTCAGACAAGACACGTGATTGGTTCCCGGCGCGAGATCGACGAATGAGAGCACGAGTGGATGTACAGTATCCCGTGAGCTGATTGGCTGCGCATCATAATTCGTATCGTATGAGAGAGAGAGAGTGAACGTATAATATTAAGGTTTTATAATTAAATAGATTTAAGTAAAATATATGTGAGTGAGTGAATGTATAATATTAAGGTTTTATAATGAAATAGATTTAAGTAAAATATATATAAAGTATAAATATACATATTTTAAACATTCTGGTACCCACACACACATATACGGAAATTCCTAGGGGGCCAATCCTACTTCGCGGATTTTCACCTATCGCGATGGGTTCCGGTCCCCATTAACCGCGATAAACGAGGGATCACTGTATCTGCTTTCACTGCAGCAATGCATATTGTGTTGGTAGCTGCTATGATTACAGCAGTGCATACCGACTGTGGTGGTACCTGCTATGATTACAGCAGTGCATACCGACTGTGGTGGTACCTACTATCACTACAGTAGTGCATGCTGACTCTATAGCAGTATTTATCGACTCTATTGCACAAAGTACTCACCTGACAGAGTGGGCGTGGTGAGGCCTAGTCCCGTGCAGAGCCTTCGGCCTCGCCTAGATTGTCCAGCCTGCCGAGGTGGCACCTTGGCAGGCTGGGGCTGGGCTGCTACTCCTGCCCCCCCCCCCCCCCCCCAGGCACGATGTCCCCGGCAGCTCTGCAGTAAAAGCTACAGCCTATAGTGGTAGCATCTAGCGACTGTATAGTAGTAATAACTGCACACATCGTGGTGGGGGGGACAAGAGACGGTGAAGAATTTACCTGAGTGTTTAGTTTATTTTTATTGCATTTCTAATTCTCACTCCCACCGAAGGCGTGTGCATGGCCAGTTTTTAAGGCATTTTATTATCATATTCCACTGTTAAAATGTTATCAATTGTATCTTTATTTTTAATGGTATTTGCTACCTACAATTTGGTGATAATATATAACATTTATTCATAACCAAAGCAAAAATTTTAATTTGAAAATAATATGCCTTTTAAACTTCGAGTATATGTCAATGTCATGTGGGAAATAGTAGTTTTCTCACATCGCAGTCAAAAGCTTATATCAACAGTGGCTGTGGGAAGCGTTTTGCCTGCCTGCACTCAGCCGTGATGTGCAGTCAGGCATTTTAACAGCAGCATCGACGCAGCCTGGGCAACAGTGCAGGCAGCCTGGGCAACAGCGCAGACGAGACGCAATGAACACGGCAGCACAATATTAATCAGAAGGAAGTCAGGTGGAATTGCTGACATTACGGCTATTGTAATGTATTGAAAGTTTCCCTTGACTGATTAAATTTATTTGCCATTGCTCGCTCTGTGTGTTGCGCTGCAGTGCAGAATCCAATAGGCATGCACGGTGGTTAAGATCAACAATGGTGGTATTTAACATGCATTTAACAGATCAGTTAGCGGACCTTGTACACCATCGATCTCACTTACCATCCTTCCGCTGCACAGCGTAGAGCTGTGCAACACATTTTTTAAAAATAATTTAGTTCGTAGGTGTCGCTGTCGGCAAAAACGACAGCTCGATATTTCACAGGCACAGCACTTGTCTGCCCTTGGAACAACTGTCCTCTGCGCTGAATTTATTCGCTATCATAAACATTTTTTAGCCAGATTTAAAATGTTTTTTTAGGGGTCTGTCCATCATGACCTTGCCTTGTATGTGGCAAGAATGTATCACACCTCCTTTGTCACTAGGCTGTGCTGCTGCTGCTTTGGCTGCAATAGTCAAGTTTGTGTTTGTAATCTGAGCAGGGTTTACCGTGGCTTTGTAGCTCTCAAAAACACTTCCAGGTCATGGATAGTTTATAGGTCATATGAATGACACCCCTTCCTTTTAAAAGTATTTTACTCGGCCTATTACCACACCAGAGTCCATATATGTAGTGCCACTTTGTAGGAAGTCGGCAGCACTGCCATGGATTAAATGCCAAATTCCTTAAGGATTTCCACGGAGAATCACCTTGGGATATGGGAGGGAAAGCTATTTGTAACTAATTTTAGGGCACATTTTATGGCATTTTTGAAAATGAGAATGACTTGTATGTTAGAGTAGGTTGCAATGAGGCTTTATTTTTTATTTACTGTATGTGCGAGCTGTGAATATAGATGGACAAATGATTACTCTGGAATGTGATTGCTAGAGTTGTTCACAAAACCGTCTACATGAATGATACAAACATTTGTAAAAATAAATGGCTTTTACAGTGCGAGCAATTAAGCAAAAATGCCTTGCCTATAACACTGTAAAGAAATAACGGACTAATATTTAAGCGTTCCTTATGAAGACCAATTAATATGTGCCTATCTGATGTGCGGATCAGTTTTAATGTTTATGCATTGATCTGTGTTAGTGAATTGACTACAGAAGGGTTTTCATTAAGGGCATGTTTGTGTACGAGCTTTGAAAAAAAGAGGGATGCACAATTCTGGTTAGGGTATCAGGGCCAGCTACGTGTGGGTTTTCATGATATATGTGACCAGAGCCAGTGTGTAAGCTATCAACTTCCCTCCAAAATTGAGTTAACAATATTAAGGCACGCTCTATAATTGGCATGCATCACTCTATCACTGTATGCTCAGTGTAACTGGTTTTATCTTCCAATGTGGTGTCCCCAGTTAATGAGTATCAGAAGTGATTCAGAAGCATTTGCAACACATTAATGGAGTTGGCCAAACACCCCAATGCAGAACATTCAGTGAGGCTTTCCTGGATAAATAAAGAATATTAATATTAATGGTTTTTACTCATTATTCAGGCGCTGTACTCGCTGTTAGGGAGTGGTTGCTTGGGGCTATTGCTTGTGTTGGTTGGTGCTAAATGAGGCCTTTGTATATTCAGTCTAGAAGGGCATCTATGCTTATTCACAAATTGACATTGATGTAAATTATAGGTACAGTTTTATGTTCTGATACATTATTTTGAGTCAAGAAAAATATACACGTCATTCAAAAAAGCAAACAATTATTCATGCAATGGCAACTATAACATTGCATTATGTCTCTATACATATGTATGCACACGTCTGTATGTATGCAGAGGCCCTTTATATTTGAATGGGCGTTGGTCTACTAGACACTGGCTTATATGGGCAAATGTACTTGTAATATATTCTCTTGATGACTTGGAAAACAGAACAACAAATATTAATCTACTTAATGTCAGGAAAAATGAAAATTGTTCTTCCGCTGGCTTGATCTCAGCCATGCTTTTTCCCAAGTGAGCCTGATTGACATCGCCTAACAGTGTTTGGGGTCGGCAATTTACTCTATTGCTTACAACTCACGACTGACTCACTTATTAACTGCTAAACTATATATTTTTTACCAGGTAAGGCCACTGAGGTATATAGCTATATTTCAATAGTTACCTGGCCACAAATGATAGCTTAACGAAGTGGCTTATCATGTGGAAATGTATAGCATTTTCCTAAATGCAGAGGGAGAGGCCGGAGAACCTGGAGAAAATCCATGTGACCACAGGAAGAACTTGCACACTCTTTAATATACAGACGTCAGGGGCAGGATCGAACCCACGATCTCCTGTATACCAGGCGAGGTAGTTAACATCTCGC